GGCACAGGATCCTGGTAGGAGACGAGGGCTGGGCAGAGGGAGTTGGCGAGCTGATGTTGTGGGCTGGGAGGCAGGACCGGAAGGTGCTGCTGAAGGAGAGCCAGCCGACGCCGAAGGGTTCGCAGGGATATCCGACGTCAGGTTGTCTTGACGCCGGGCAAGGCGAGCCCCAGCCGTCGAGAGGTCTTCCTGAACAGACTCACCCTCCTTGGCCTCTTCGTGGATGTACGCCTCCACCAAGCGGTGAAGAGACTCGGGCTCTGCAGCCTTTACGGCCTTGGCGACCTGTTGAGACAGCTCCATCCGCGACTCGGACATCAAAGGCTGACCAGCGGCAGCGCCGTGGGCATGGTGTCCTGTACACCTCATCGATGGAACGACAGCAGAAGTCAATCCATAGCCGATGAAGAGGCACACGGCAAAGGTAGCCGTGAGGCGGCAGGCTCGTGCCATCCTGTTGGGCCTGGGGGTTTGTGTCGAGGGCGACGTGGGTGTGTTCGTCATGAGGGTCCTCTTCTCATCAGAAGCGACAGTCAGCAGTCCATCCTCCAGATTGGTGTCATTGAGCTTGTCGGAAGCCATTGTTGCGAGTGTGGTGGCCGAGACCGAGGACGAGCCAAAGAAGGTGGGTTGAGGAATGGTTTTATGAGGACTGCTGCTGTCGAGAAGGGCGAGTGAGGGCGAGCGGAGGAGGCTTGACGGATCTACCTTTCCTAACGCAGCGGGTCGATCAGGAGCGAATGGAAGGGCGAAAGCAGCCCAAGAGCCAAGAAGTAGGTTTTTGGGGTATGACGAGGGCGGTTTTAGCGGCTCTGCAGGCTTGGTCGATGACAGGCAAACCAGAGAAAAAAAGAGCGAATGTTTGTGGGGTGGAGGGAGGAGGAGGAGAGTTGTGAGACGCGACCGAGAGGCTCCGGTGTCAACACGATCGAGGTGGTGAGGGGCAAGCAGGCAGGATATGCAGGATATGCAGGATGGTTGACGACAGATGATGTACTCGCACGATGCTGGGGGTTGGAAGAGGGTCGGATGGAGCAAGCTAGGAGGCACCGTCGAAGGGGTTTGTGGTGTGCGAGGAAGCTCTGGCCTCTTCGCTGCCTTGTTCGGTCGGGTGCGTTGGTAGCGGCAGCGTAACAGTCGAACGGTATCCGCGGGGCTAGTGTTCCCGGAGAGATATTTTCAGGGCAGGCTTTGGGTCTACCAGGTAGTGCTGGGCCGGCGCCGGAAGCTCAGAGGCGTCGCCGATTGTCTTAGACACCACAAACACGAAGATGGGCGGACGCGGCGATCGGGCTCTGCTAGTGGGGGGTGGGTACACTTGCTGGGATGTGGTGGCGAGGCAAAGAGAGACGAGAGCGGGCGACGAATGCAGCTGGCGGAGGGAGATGGGGAGGAGAATTGGCTGTCGATGACCCAGGCTGCAAGGAATCCAAAGGATGATATCGCGTTTTTGGTCTTGGGGTGTTTATGACCAGGGGGCGGCCTCGGCCTGCCTGCACACGTTAATGGTCGATTCGCCTCTCTGGTCGGCCAGTATCCCTGCAATCGTACCCTCGTCGGCCCAATACCCATATCGTCTTGTCGTGCGCCCAGCAAACCTGCGGCTGTGACGGCTGCGAGGGCGGCGAAGTTCGGCCATTCGCACTGACTGGTCTGGTAGCCTTCCCTGGCCCTGGCCTTGGCCCTGGTCCTGGCCGTAGCCCCGGTCCCAAAGCTCGGATGGATGACAGTCCAGCTGGTCAACGAGGGCTTCGCCGTCGAGTAATTACCGTCTGATGCAACGCCAACAATATTTCCTGGCCGTGCTCGTAGTGGAATGCTGTGCTCATTGAGCCGCCGATGATCCGGCGAACAAACCTGACGGGCCGTAGGACACCACGAGGGTCCCCTGTGACATCACTGGGGCTCGTGCTTCTTTCTTCAGAGAGCTGCCCGACTCGTATTGCTCCATTTTGTTGGGTGTCGTTTTTTTTTTAATCCCTTTCTTTCTTCAACCCCCCTTCGACTCCTCTGTAGCGTCACCTTGTCATCGCTTACGCCCGCGCGCCGAGGAAGGCGAGGCTAAAAGTGCGGTAGTGCCGGCGCAATACGAGCCACGGTGATAGTATGACGTTTGCCGTTGTGAGGGGCTGAGAAGGTTTGCTTGCGTTGTCATGATATGTGCATCAATTAAACCCAACGTTTCGTTGTTTCTGATGCATCGGCTGACCGGCTGGCTGTCCTCAATTGGAGCCCGCATGGATGTCGACCGAGTTGAGTTGTGCAAGCAGCAGCCCAGACACTTGAGCGCTTCAGGTGGGGGGTCGCGATTAGACAATAATTGGCCGTGAACTTCCAAGCCTTCCGCGCCACATGCCCAGCTTCTTGGGCGAGCTTTTGGAGGCTGTTTTGGGGAGGTCGGTCTCGGTCGTCCTGGTTCGTTGACATGGTTGCTGTGCTGACACCTCGTGTGCCTTCTTTTGCTCATCCTTGACGTTTTCGCCTTCGCCACCCTTTCCCACTGGAGACACAGAGCATCTCATTCGAGCTCGGCCACGGATTCCGACGAACAGATAAGAATAGGCATACGATCTCCATCTCCCGACCGCGTTCGCTCCCAGTGGACACAACGAAGCTCTGGGGCTCTCTCGGAGGCTGGGACACGACGCTAGGCCATCGCCGGGACCCAGCAACCGATACTCGTAATCCTTGCAGGTCGCGCTAATGTATGTACCAGGGCCACGCCTCTTCAACGATTACGAAGATGTTCTGGGCGATACGGCCGGCGACCTGGCGGACCGAGACGTAATCCCATTCTGAGTAAGCTGCTCATAGGCTCCCTTGTCGTCGAAGAGTGGCCCCAAGATTCGTCCGCCAAGGGCATCTCTTAGTCAACTTGCCTGTTCAGAAGATTGATGACTGTATTTTGGACCAAAGAGACAAAACCGACTGTGCACCTCATGTGTGTGTCGAGACTGATATTTCGCTCGTCATCGTTACTCGCGTGCTGAGGTGGTGGCGGCGGCGGGCCTCCACCGTCCTCGCCTGTGCATCACTCAAGGTTCGGCTGCAAAACTCGTTGTCCCACCTGAACCCGAGGAGCGGGGGAGGCTGGCGTCGTCCCAAGTTCGACTCACCTCACTCAGCTGAACCTGCTGCGGAGCGGGTGGGGGGAGGGAGAGCTCTGGGTTTGGGAGGCTTCACGATAAGCGAGAAGAAGGTGTGTGATGGATGAATCGTTGTGCCCCATCCAAAGCCGTTGAATGTGTGCCGTCAGCTGAACAGAAGCTGCCGACTGGGTCGAAACGTTCCATGCTGAGACGCAAGGAGCAATGTGGCTTCAATGATGGTCAGCTCGACAGGTACCTTGGTAATAAGGCAAGGTAGGTAGGCTGGTTTGGGGGGGGGGGGGCGGTTGCTTCAGCCCAACTGCCGGGCGGAGCGTTTTTCGCTCTCCTGAAGCAGCATTGCAACGTCCCCCTGCTCAGCCACCACCGCTCTCGCTCTCGGTGTGGGGGAGTGACGATACATGTACGTGGGCTTTCGTCCCTCATTTCAGCTAAGTTTCCTGTGCCTCCTGTCAGTCATGTCGTGTCGTGTTGTCCTGGGCTACCGCATGCACTTGTTCAGAAGAGTATGACAGGTCAGTCTGGGCCACTGCTTTGCTGGGCCAAGGCTGCTGCTACGATTACGTTTGAGCCGATGGAAGAAGCCCCCGCCAACAAGTGACATTTGCTTTCTTCGTTCTTGCCTCGCATCCGGACAGGCCGTGTGTTGCTCGTCGAGTCGAGATGAGTCCGGCATGAATGACTAGAACGGATGTGAACATGTTGACAGATTTAATATATATGAATCACAGCCTTGGCCCTTCATATCTGCCTGCTGATGGCTACGACAGCCCCTTGTCCTGATGCACCTGAGATTAAGTGCACTGCAGTCTAGTCCCTGAGAGTGAATCCGTGGATCAGCCAACCGCGGGGCCTTTTCTTCCGCCTGTCCTGAGAATCTACCACCATTTCGTCTGGGAAGAGACAAGAGAATAGACGCTCAACGATCGAATGGTGGAATGTGGTCGGTCACGTTTCTGTCACACTGTTACCTCCCATCCAAAGTGTCACATGACGTTGTAATCTCTCCCAGATCACCTCGATAAGACCATCTTGGCTTTCCCTCGGACCATGCTGCACAGAGAAGTCAGATGCAGTGGCAATGAGGGCTGCCCTACAAGCATTCCACTTGTGCTGATTTCTCATGCCGGGCTCAAATGACGAGCTTCATGAGGAGTATCAATGTGGACGACTGTCTGCAGTCCTTGGAGACGTTCAGTTTATGGAGTCACGCAAGAGGGAAAGATGTCTTGGGGATGATGTGCATCCAGAATGTTCAATCTTTCGAAGGTATCGTGAGCCGGGCTGGCACTCCACTATTAAGGCAGCTGCAACCGGCTGCGATGGCTCAGCTTACATCATCGACAAATCCCCACAGATTCGCATTTAGCGCCCTCTTGAGGCGCCGCGGGGCTGAAAGCCCCTGTCTATCCTGTACCGTCCTCAACAGATGGACACCGGCATCCTCTTTCATGTGATTAAGTATCATCCGAGAGCTCTCCACTCGCTAGGTCCCGCAGCCCTTCTGACCGACGAGACTCCATATCGACTCGAACAACGTCGTCATCCCGGCATCGTATCATGACGTGAGACACCCGCTCTCCGGCGCATCATCCCCTGCCGTGTACCTTCACAGAGGTCTCGATCCTGGAGCTCCCCTTGCTGGCGTCTTCAAATGGTGGCCGCGAATCCGTGACAGACCGACCTCTAGCTATGCCACCCGATCGCCTCAAACCCGAATCACTCGCCCCGCGCGACGATGCGAACGACATCGATGAGCTCCGAGCTCTGAACCGAACACCTCATCCTTACCACCACCTGAGTGCCGAGCTCCCACATGCTGCGCATCGCTTTGCGTTCCCCGCGACCTCTGGGGCGGGCCCAACATCGGCGCCATCCCCCGCCCGCTCCGACGACAGCAGCGAGCCGCCGTCGCCGTTCCCTTCATTCACAAAGGAGTCGACGCCTCTCAGTGACAGCGGTACCGAAGCCGATGACGAACACTTTCTGAAGGGCTTGCCCGCGCCTAGAATACCATCGCACAAGGGGCTTCGCGGGCGCAACGAGCTCATATCGGGGACATCCTCGCCACTCCCCTCGCCAGCATACTTTGGGAACCGTAGCAGCCATGGGAAGCTTGGGGAGGGCCAAGAGAAACCGGAAAAGGAGCTCAATTTCTGGGAAGACCGAAACTACCGGCGCACAAAGGAGCTTATCCGACGAACCCTCGAGTTCATCATCTCTGGAGTTCTTTTCGGTATTCTTTGGACCAATGATACCGTAAGGCTCATTTTGAGAGAATGGAATCAAGGTATGTGGCCTTAAAAGATGTAAGAGGTCGAGTGTACTAATTTATGCAGAACTTTCCCTAATAGTGGCGTTATCAGCATCGCTAATGCTTCTCTACCCTGTGCGCCTTGTTTCATGGGCGCACCGGAATCGCAACCCTCCAACATGGCCTCCGTTCTCCATACCAACTGTTTTCGACCCAGCATCCATATTGTACCCTCCCTGCATCACCATGCTGGTCTCACTTCTTGTGGCAATGGATAATCGTGGGGTTGTGCTCCCCAATATCATCCTGAGCATCAGCGCCATACCCAAATTTTTGATCCCGACTGCCCAGCCTCTCGAGGTCATCAGCCCCTTTCATTGGGCCCTGTCCTGTATCCCGCTGGCCATGGCACGCGCACAACCGAAAGATCTTGTCGCAAATCTCCGACCAGACAGGCCGACCATTGATCCTGAGACGGCTGTCCTGCTGTACCCGTTACACCAATCGCTCCTGGTGGTGTTGCATCACATGACGACGACCAGTCTGCTCACAGCCGAGCTGCAACTCCTCTCGATCGGGCTCATCAACGTCCTTCTTCTCGCCCATTCACCTCAGGCCACCATATTGCAGTCACTGCTATGGGTGGGTGGCGTCACTGTATTGGCATTGTGTGGGCCAGTCATACGATGGGGCATCGCCTTGGCTAGGGTACCAAGGCTTCGCTTCAGGCGTACCTCCTTCTCCTCCAACGGGTCATGGTTTGGCCTGGTCAAAAATGCACTGTTGCCACAGCGCGTTAAACGCGACTTTTTGCGGTCACCAACCGAAGAATCCGCGTCCGAAGTGTTTGATTCAGACGAGGACACAGCAAACGGTCCTCTGATGAAGCCATCACGCGTGCGTACCTTCACAGCTAGCGACCTCAACTCGCATCAGGCTGGTAGTCTAGGCCGTTCAACATCGGCAAGTGTGCCGTCCCCTTCGGCAAATGGTTTCGCGTTCGGCAGAACCAGCACGATGCCCGTCGTGAATCGTCCTCAGCGCTCCATGACGCATACCCACTCGGGCAGGAGGAAACGAACATCCTCAACTACCGTGCGGTCTTTCTTCCGACTCACAGAAACGCAGGCCACGGTGAAAAAGTGGATCTACTCAGCGTACGTGCATGTTGGCATAGTATTGATTATCTTACTCCCAACAAGGGATCACATTGGCCGCTACGCTCTCAGCGGTCATGAGGCGATAGGTTGGGCGTTGGGCTACCTATTCGGCGACCTGCCGTGGTTCAGGTTCCAAGTCGTGAGCAACGACTTAGAGCGCTGGATCTTTATCCCTCCGCGTCTGGATGACGTTCATGAGTCCTGTCACCTCGGATGGGTGCAGCACATACGCCACGCTGACTTTGGAGAGGCAAACACAAGGCTCCTCATAGGTGTCTACTGGCTAATCGTCATCGCATTCGGGTTGATCGTCGTGGTCAACTTGGATCCGAAGTTCGAGGTCGACACGAGGCGTAAAGTCTTTCACTTTATGATGGTCGCCATGATTCTGCCAACAACCTACGTTGACCCCGTGTTTGTTGGTCTTGCGTTGTCCTTCGCCCTCGCCATCTTCCTCGTCGTCGACCTTCTCCGCGCCAGCCAGCTCCCGCCTCTCTCGCGCCCAATCGCATCCTTCCTCACTCCCTATGTCGACGGACGCGATAACAAGGGCCCTGTCGTGATTTCGCACATCTTTCTCCTGATTGGCTGCGCTATCCCTCTCTGGCTCGCACTCGCGACTCTGCCCCGCAGCTCGTCCGCAAAGCTCGAAGACGATCCCCTCGCCGGCTGGGAGGTCCCGACCCGCGAAGTCAGCATGGTCGCGGGCGTGATCTGCGTTGGCCTCGGCGATGCCGCCGCCTCGCTCATCGGCCGCCGTTACGGCCATAAGAAGTGGATCTGGGGTGGTGGCAAGAGCCTCGAGGGCAGCGTCGCCTTTGCCGCCGCTGTCTTTGTAGGACTCATGTCGGCGACGACGTGGCTGCGTGTCGGCGGGTGGCCTGTGGCTGCCAAACAGCAGACGACCTGGGCCGTTGCGGCGCGGAACGCCGGCGTGTGCGGGAGCATGGCGAGCTTGACCGAGGCGGTGCTCACGGGGGGCAACGACAATGTCATTGTACCTATTGTTCTGTGGACGTGCGTAAAAAGTTTGGGCGTGTAGATAAGTGGTTGTGTGACCTCGTGGGATTTAATGGCGTTTGGAGAGCGGGGAGAGCGATCTAAATATGGTCAGTGACCCGAGGGCTGGGGTTTAATCATGTGGTAGAGGCATTCCAACGAATTAACGAAGCATTGATTACATGAGCTGTCGACCGATATTTGTTCGCCAGCATTGGTGCCAGGTCCCTGAGGCTGAAAGACCAGAGGAACGCCTGACGTCTTGCAGCGCCTGACGTCTTGCAGCGCCTGACGTCTTGCAGCGCCTGACGTCTTGCAGGCAACTTGATATCTACTACGCAAGGACCAGAGGAGTGTGAGCAGAAGCAACGCTACAAACTGACCTCTGAATATGTATTAAGCCATAACGCCAGCCTGTATAGGCACCAATGCTGTAGACCACCTATTGCCATGCTTGACGCTTATTCCCCTTCTCCCCCGGACGCCGCCAGACTCTACGTTCGGCTTCCAAACACTACAGCGCAAAATGATTTACGTGGCAGCATCATGTCATGAGTTCCTCCAAAATACCCTCCAATTCATCTTTGCGGAATGGCACGCTTAGCAACTCCGTCCCAATGGCGTCCTTGCTGCTCGTAATCATCTGATGGTCGTGGAACCTGTTCGCAAAGTTAGCGCGTGTCGTGGCTTGCTCGCACACAGGGAGCAACCTTACTCTTTCAGCAGCGTACGGAACGCCATCTCCGAACTGCAGATGAACTCCTCGACGGCCTTGTTGTACAGCATGCGATACTCCACGGCCGCACTGTCATCCCCGTCATCGCCGTCCTCGGCGGCAATGAGCACCTCGGCCACCAACAGACGGAAGAGGCTCTTCGCGTTCTCCGGCAGACTGGCCAGCACGAAGACGACGCCCTCCTTGCCGTTGATGGCGCGGGCGCGACGGCCAAGGAGGTCATGGACGTCGTCCACGGGGTCGAGCTCCGCCGCCGGTTTGGCAAATGTTGTGGTGTCGTGGAACAGAAAGTTGAACGAGGCGCGGAGGGCGGCGTCCCAGAGGAGAGAAAAGTCGGGCGTGTCGGCCGAGCAGAGAAAGCGAATGTTGGGGTGCGCCGCGAGGGCGGCGAGGGCCTGCTGCGTTGCGGGCTTGCGCAGCGGCGGGGCGTCGATGGAGTTGAGGAGGAGGGTCAGGGTCACGCCGGCTTCTGTGAGGTGCGAGAGCAGGGCCTGTAGCATGGCGGGCGGTTGGGCGGGCAGTTTGTGGGTTGGGTCGAGGGCGAGGGTGGAGGCGATTGTGTTAAGAATGTCGCGCAGAGTGATGGTTCGCACGTAGCCGTTCACGATGACAATCTTGTGACGGTCGTGCTTCTGAATCTTTGCATAGGTGTGTTCTGCGAAACGTGTGAGGAGCGCACGCTTGGAGCCGAGCCCGTAGAGGCACAGGCTGAAGCCCTCGGCGAGCTCGAAAGACCATTGGCCGAAAGAGCCCTCATGAAGGGATTGTAGGAAAACGAGGTCCTCAGCGTGAGGGTCTTTGAGGTCTCGGATTATAGAGAAGTACTCGTCGTGCGTGAGAAGGTCGATAGAGGCGAGGGTGTTGTTGGAGGTTTTGGTACGGCCGGGCTTATTGTGTTCAAAGTACATCTCGTGCGCAGGAAGATCGCGTGGAGGGGTCGGTGATCGTATTTTTGGCGGCCGCCCCTTTCGTGCTGGAGTCTTTTTCGATGGGGTCGTCGCTGCCGCAGCTTCTATGTCGTCCTCGTCCTCGTCTTCGCTCGACTCGTAAATGGCCCTGGCAAGCCCACCTTCATCCTCCTCCTCGCTGATGTCGTCGCCAACGACGCGCTCAATCAGCGCCCTGGCACTCTTTCGCTTGGCAGAACGGTCTACAGCCGCCCTTTTCCGTGGAGTAAAGCCATTGGCACCGGTGGATTTTGTTGGCGTTTCGAGGTTTTGTGATTGTCGCAACTTGGAGGGTGTCGCGATACCGTTGGTCTGCGGTGTCGCATCCTTTCGAGGCCGTCCTCGTTTTCTCTTGGGGGTTGGTGTTGGTTGCTCGATCTCCGATGCTGAATCTTTCGGAAGATCGTCGTCGGGCACATCATAGACATCTGCAATCTGTTTGAGCTGAAGAGAGCCTCGTTGCCTTTTCGAAGGGGTATCCGCCACTGTGTCGTTGCCATCCTCCGGGTCTGGTCGGGCTCGTTTGACTGATGATCGGCTTGGCGATTCGGCTGCCTCTTCTTGTAGGGGTTTCCGTCGAACCATTTTGCAAGAATCGGTCACTGCGTCGGCGATGCCTGCGGTTTTCGACGTTATTTAGGCTTTGACGGTGCTGACCCATTAGATTGGAAGACGCGTTTCGACGCCGAGTCGCGAAGTGTCTGCCGAGAAATGTGGTCCAAGCTTCTAAAGCTGTCAACCGCGGCCGACGACAAGCGACCAGAGTGCTCTCAGTTCCTTGGATACAACTCTCATCACCCTTTCGGTCGCTCATCAAAGCCTGGCATCACATGATGAATCTCAATCTTTCCGCGTCTTTGAATATTTTCAAACTCATTGCCAGGCCTTCTCTTTGCCTTCCGCACCAAACCGTCTCTACATTCAATGATCTACCAATACCCTTGAACAAGGTCCTCGAGGCACAAGGCAGGAAAGCCGATATCAGAGCCGTCGTCTTGGACAAAGACGACTGTTTCGCAGTTCCCGAAACCAATCATGTATACAAACCTTATGAGGCATGTATGCTCCCAGATAGAATCTGCATCCAATCACTAACCTGTCTAGACCCGTTTCGAGGAGTTGAAGGCAGCGTATCCTGGCCGTCGCCTTCTCATAGTGTCGAACACTGCGGGTGCAACCAGTTATGACAGGAACCTAGCCATGGCTGCAGAGCTCGAGGAAGGGACAGGTCTCACTGTGCTGCCTCACTCATCGAAGAAGCCTGGCTGCGGTACCGAGATCATGGAGTACTTTAAGCAACACCCTGAAACTGGCGTCTCCCATCCATCACAAGTTGCTATTGTTGGAGACCGCTTAAGTACTGATATAATGATGGCCAATATGATGGGTAGCTGGGGCTTTTGGGTCAAGGATGGTGTCGTTCCTAATAAAGAGAAGAGCATGGTAAGTTGTTGGCCCAAGTTGCATTGTAACTGCTCTTCACTGAACCATTCGACAGTTCTCCCGACTAGAAAGAAGGCTAGCCGCTTCACTGCTAGCGAGGGGCTACCAAACCCAAGATCCGTCGAGTCAATTCGAATAAAAAAGGCACCGTCTGCATCATTTGTCTAACTCCTGGGCCAGGCGCACAGTACCACAACAATCGACCGAAAGATACCTACCTGCAATCTACTTGCGTATTGTCATGCATCATTATGTCTTTCTTGGCGTTGTATGATTAGGAGGAGAGTTAACAGATTCTCTCGGCCCCTCTCTGTCATAATGAGAGCAGGTCCTGTCAAAGATGCTGCTGTTTAACATTTCCGTCTCACCCAGGCAGACATGGCATCTCCGGTTTGACCATGTTCATCATGTTAGGTCGAATTCATGTACAACTTTTGGCTTTGATTCCCCGCTATTCTTGATCATCAGCTCAGAGTAGGTACGCTGTTGACGTAGCCCGTGACGTATACAGTGACGCTGTCCAGCTATCCATGTTCATTCACGACAAGACTGCGTATCATCTGCCTTGGTTTCCCTTCTTTGAATGTATGGCTTATTATCGCAGCCAGGCCCTCACATTCACCGCCGACAACCTGCGCCTGGACCACCGACCTCTCCCTAATTATCTGCGTTGTCCTCATCTACTTCTTGAATGATTCTGAGATTCCGCTCTTGCTGGCGAAACCGACATCTAGAGCAAGCAGCCTTTCAAAAGCAACGTGAAACACGAAAGCCGGCATCTGGAGGTACTCCTGCTTAAGTCTTCAAACCCTGCTTTTCGTTCTTCACAAAAGCATTGCGATGAATGAAGTGCAGCATAATATACGGAAAATCGGCAACCGCACTGCGTCCTTCCCTCCGGCTACTTCTTTCATGAAACGAATTTCGTTCTTCATGCGGTAGTCTTTATATGAGTCGTAAGTTTCAAAGTACAAGATACATAGTACATTTTTAGGGTGCTATGTTTCTTTTGCATACGAGAACACAGAGGCAGTACGAAATTACATAAAATCAGACAAGCACGCGAAACACAGCTCGGGCTAACGCGAAAGTGCACAAAGCAGGAAGGCACATGGAATCACGAATTTACACGGAATCGTGAAACCATACGGAATCACGAAACCATACAACCACGAAACCACGAAATCACGGAACCACACGAAAGTCAACACGAAGCATCAGCGAACCCACAACGCCAGAGGCTGAACGATCGCCATGGGCGGCAAGACCTGGTCATTGGCGGAGGAGAAGGTCTTCTAGCGGAAGATCATTCCTTTCTCTCAGAGACGCGTCGGCAAGGATCGTGCAAACAAGGAAAGAAGCTGGACGCAGCTCACAGATGAGATGTTCACGCATATGGGTGAGGGTGCCCGCAGAACCTACACCCCCCTCAGCCTTTGTAAGTATTCTCACACAAAATCTTCCAAAATGTATGACCGGGAATCATGGCTAAGAATGGCTCATTCTGGCTCTACTAGTCGAGCACTACTTCCTCAACATTGAGCAGGGCCGACCTTCCCCCAACGCCCACGCCTTCGTCAGGGAGTATAATTGCATGAAAAGTCAGCAACCACACACCCTGTTTTTAATCCTCAAACTGACAAAGGACTTTCTAGACGAAGAGAATGAGGCCAAGAAGGCATTTGAGCGTGCCAACCGCATAGTCGACGAGGACAACGAGGATGGCAATCGCTCGAGCAGCATCCACGAGCCTTCTGATACCGGCGATGGTGAGAATAGCAGCGCTCGTCGACACCCCATGAGGCCTCGGCGCAAAGTTCGGGACGCTCACGTGGGCCCTACCGCCAAAGAACAGGAGCGAAATCGTGTTTCGATGCAGGACCAACGGCCTTTGCCCCCAGTCGACGAGAACTACCGCCGTCGACCTGTTGGGGATTCGGTCGCCTCGCCTTATTCTCATCATCTGGAAGCTTACCGCCACTCTCACCCTCAGTATTATGGTAATCAACACCATGCCCAACTTTCGTTTGAACGCTCGCAGGGCTATCGCCGTAGCCAGGATCAAGGCCAAGGGTTCAGTGGCTACCAGGAGGACTACTATGTCCAGACTCCCGATTACCAAGGAACCCCCGAGCAGTGGCGTACCAGCTATGGGGAAGCTCCTTATCGATTCCAGAATGATATGTCTGGTCGCTACACTAATCAGTATAGTCAGCCGTACTACAGCAACAACTTCTACGAGCAAGGTCCATCCATGCGACCAAGTCCCGAGTACTCACAGGTCGCCGTAAGCGACCACGGACCCGAACGTCCAGCATACTCGCAAGACGACTACGAAAGTCGAGCCCGAGAGGAAGCCACCGGCTCGGATCAACGCCACTATCTCGCCCAACAGGGCAATAGCGCCCCCGGACATGCGCACCAGGAGTTCCGCGGTTTTTACGAAGGCCCACCTCATACCAGGGCAGCTGTCCATTCTGTCGAAAATCACCATCATCTCGGAAGCCGCACTTGGGAGGGCGACGCCCAGTTTGAGAATGTGGGCCGGGTGGAAGGTCCGTGTCAGATTGCCAACGAGCGCGAATGCTCGCCCTCGACCGGTAGCACTATCCTGTTGCAAGATGCGTATGAGGCTGAAGAAGGACAACACCATGTCCGCCAAGCCGAGCCAGGTAGCAGGGGCGTCCCGCGCTCAGGAGACACGACCGAATCTGAACCTGCATCACAACATCACTCTGATCATGGCTCAGCCATCAACACTCGCCCTCCTCACTACCGACAGCGCGAGCGGCGAGCGGAATATCCGCGTACTCCTGAAGCACAAACAGCTCGTCGGCTATTTGATAACGTTGCCACGACTTCCAGCTACGGTTATGTCCCCGCTCTGGATCTCGCACCCGACCGCGAGCTGCCCCTGGCAGGGCCTGATCGCACCGCAAACGACCATATCAATGCGTACAACACCCATGGAGATCGAGTACTCAGTGAGAAAATCAGCCATGCTCGCACTGTCGCACAGCGCGAACATGCGAGTGTGCACCGCAGCCGACTCTCTACGATCAACTCCAGCGGCCCAGCCTTTTCTGCTAGCCAGCAGTTGGAGCCCTACCGTGATAGAGCACAAGACCCCGTAAAACCCGAAGAACCAGTCGCAGAAGTTGAGTATGCACGCAATCTTGAAGTACTAGCTCGAGTCGCACTCATGCAGACCGAGGGTGTTGCTGCTGATGAAAGCGGTGGCCAGCACGCCGCCTCTGGTCGCAATACCCAGGAAGAGGACACCGGCGACGATCAAGAGACTAGTCATTTGATTAAGCGGTGTGACGATGAAGTTGAAGCAGCCCGTCAAGCTCGTGTTGAGAAGGCCTTGCGCCTTGACGCTGAAATCAACGCTGACATTCGGCGCCGACACCTCAAGGACGACGCACAAGTGGAGCAGTAGATCCGCATCGCCCGTACAATGCGATGAGCTTCAGTGAACTAACATGGAAAAGTATACACCCAGCACACCATAGAAGAGGACATGAGTGGCAGTCAGGTTGCATCTCTTGAAGGAAGGTCTCTGATGGTTCAGGAGACACGAAGCTTCGTCGGTTTTAGGGATGCCAAGAATCAGGAAATTGAGCTGGGCTTCCATTCAGCAGGTTGCTCCTGTATTGGGGATTACATCAATGGCAAATTGCTCAGTTCGACGCCCGGCTTTGGTCTCTAGTTCAATTGACTTTGCTTTTCAGAACTTACTGTGACGAGAGACTGTGAGGACGTTCAGGACGCTATTTAACACCGAACACGGTAGACAGCGCAAGAACAGCATTCAACACCTGATGGCTCGTAGAGTCTTCATACGAGAAAGCCCGAAGAACCGTCCCAGACCATGTCAAGTGTGAACATCTTCTGCCACGTCGTGAGCCCCTGAGGAGAAGGCAGATCCACCAGCTGACTAAGAGCTCTACAACGTTACATGAAGCTCTCACCAAGTTCGTCCATTATCCCAGAACAAAACAGCGCACGACTTGTTTCTTCCACTCTCCGACAGTCTTGTCTACTTTCCAGACTTGTGCTGATCACGCTCCGCGATACTATCACGATGTCGCCTACCACATCTCTCGAGATCCCCGTCTTCTCCCCGGCGGCAGCTCTTCACGCCCAGTCTCTCGGCGCCCAGCGCATCGAGCTCAATGCACAAGGCTCGTATCTCGCCGGAGGCCTGACTCCCACTCTCGACGACCTGCGCGCTGTCTCTTTTTCGTTGACGATCCCGAATCGAGTTATGATTCGGCCAAGGGGACCCCCCGCTGAAGGGTTGGATTTCATGTATTCAGAGGCAGAGTTCGAGGCGATGCTCACCGATGTGAAGAGGTTGCTTGCCGGTGGAGGCTTGAAAGCGGAGAGAGGGGATGGATTTGTGTTTGGAGTGTTAAAAAGAGGGGCGCATGGGGTTGAGGCTGACCGCGAGAGGAATTCAAAGCTGGTGGAGGCGGCAGGAGGTTTGGTGTGCACATTTCATCGGGCCTTTGACGAGCTTGTTGCTGGACTGGAGGGTGTCGGTCTGGATGAAAAGGAGGCCAAGGTCGAGCAAGCTATACGAAGTGTTGCTGCCTGTGGCTTCGATGCCATCTTGACGTCTGGAGGGCCGGGACGGGCGCCGGCGAACATTGAAATCTTGAGGGTGGTGACGAGGAAAGCGCAAGGAAGGTTGACGATCATCATTGGGGGCGGAGTTAGGAGTGGTAATATTGGGAGTGTTCTGGGACATCTGGACGTTGATCCCCAGAGCGTGTGGGCGCATTCGAGCTGCCTTGTTGCTGGAGAGGTAGAAAATATCGATCCTGTGGAGGCAAGCAGGATGCTGCTGCAATTCAAATGATCGAACTATGGTAGCCATGAAGACAAATAAGGAGCTTGTAATTGACGTTTGTATTCGTATGAGGGAATGACTCGAGGTTGGGTATTTAGTTAAGCATCCATCTAGCAATCAAATCCATCGTGATCTGTGTCCAAGTCTGCGAACTATCAATCCACTGACCTAGGGAAACCATCACCGCAGATCTCCAAGACTATGTATGCATCTATGTGCATCAAAACGCTCACCGCCTGTGCTTAATCACTTCACTCTCTTCAAGCTGTCGCGCCCGGACCTTGCTTGGCCCAGCCTTCATCTCAGTCCATTCGCCCTCAGTGTTCCACTTGCCCGCCTTGGTATAGTCCCACGTCTGCGTGCCCTCCATGTATGCGAAGCGGAAATACTCATTGTGACGCAGCTCTGGTTTCCGTTCCCACAAGAAACTCGTCTCGGAGCCTTCGCCATCGTCAAAATATGTCCGGAACCTCTCCACATCGTTGACGAGTACGCTAATGCCGTCAAAACGAGGGGCAGGAGGCGTCGCCCAGGTGAAGTTGGCCGTCCACAGGGCTTCGCCAAGGTTGATTTCAGGGGCCCTGATGACGGGGAGGGGCGAGCCATGTTGGGCATCGCCTTGCAAAGAGGCGCCCGTCTGCAGCAGAGGGTCAAAGCCCCAGCGCGCGATGCCGTTGATAAAGAGACCAACGAGAAGACCTTGATACAAGAGGCTGGGCCGCGTCTGCATGCTCGTGCCCGGCAACAGCAGCAGGGCTAGAATGTAGTGATGGATGCGCAAGTTGAGGCCCGGGAGCAGCAGGCAAATGACGATGCCACCGACGAAGAGCGCGTACAGCTTTAGGTACTTCAGCAACCGACCTTCCTGCCTAAAGAACCAGATCTGCTTGACAACGATGACGAATAAGACAATGACGATGATGGCGAGCGCGGCCTTTGCACCTGGTTGCTGCTGCAGGTCATGACCCGTCAATCTTGAAATGGGAATGAAGTCGAGCGTGTAATTAGTCAAGGCGCCCACCCAGCAGGCACCGAGCCAGAGCACCGTCTTTTCGACCTGCGCAGTGAGCCCGCGGAGCAAACGGCGGCCTCCCATCTTGTCGTACATGACGTAGGCACAGAACATGGCGGGCAGGAACTTTCCGAGGATGTTCGAGACGAGCCCAGCTATGCTGGAGTGTCCTGGGGGATCCGATGCAATGCCAACGTGCCAGAAGATGCCAACAAAGTTGGCGAAGAAGAAGAGAGCCGAGGAAGCGGTGAATAGCGACATCACAGACGTATAGACGACTGAGACGGCCAGTAAGTCCCATCGCATGTCGCGAGACTTGCACTCAACGTCCTGCTCAAAGACAAAGGACAGTGGGAAATAGGAATCAAAGCCAACGCTCCTTGATGCCATGTTGGCTCGAGCTGACGTAGTCCTGCCGGTCTGCCGACCACCTTCATACAAATACATTCTTCCTTGCCGTTTGGGTGAGATGACGAATGTGTTGTAGATCGATTTTCCTGATCTCCCACCAGCGAGGGAGTAGAAAGACAATGAAACGGAGCGGCAGTTCGTCCGAGCATCTAAAAGGGGAAACCACTGCCATTGAACGGGCGACAGTCGACACCATTGATGCCGCATCGGTTTCCGGCGCCCCAATACGTGGCGCCGCACCCAATCTCCGAAGGCGTGCGCCAGCCCTCGATCTCAGTGGCGAGCGTCTCGGCTCGCTTGACAAGCGCAAAGGTGACAGCCCAAATGGCTACGTAGAAAAAAACGACAACAAGGCGTTGTTTCCGCTTCGGCAGATACTTCTCCACGAGCAGGAGAGGGAATTCCTGGATGCGCGGGAAGACGGGCTTGATCTTCCAATCGCGCGGGTTCTGGGGGCCCTGTGCCCAGGTCGTTGTGGCTTTCCCACAAGCGGTATGCGGGGTACGGCACCCACTTCCATCTCTTTCCATTGCGGTCATCCTGCAAGAACCTTGGGGTGGAAGTCGATGAGTCGTCCTCCACCTCGAGCTCGCGTCGCTGTTGGGCGGTGGTGGTGGAATCGGGGATCGGGGCGTCGGGATGGTCGGCCGCCGTCGCAGTGGCATCGCCTCGCTCGGCAGCAGGTCTCTCGGTGGCTTCTTGTCGTTCCATGCTGCTCAGGAGGGGTGCGTTTTCGGCAAAGCCATCGTCGCTCATTCTGTTGCTGTCGTGTCGGAGAAGACGAAGGGCATGTCAATGCCCCCCGCGACTCCTAGAGTGTTTCGTTTGGCTGTGCCGCACCCGATCCGTCAGCATTTCTTGGAAAGCGCCACAGATGGGGCCGCCACTCGGGCGCGATCCGAGCTTACTAAATCGATGATGGATGACGGTGGTGTTGTGCTGTCAAAGCAGACATGTACTGGCTGTCTTGGTCTTGAAACTGACGTTTCGACAAACACCGCAGAAAGGGGCGTTGTGGGCAGGAGAACTGCTGTGTATTTAGCATTCACAACCGAGACCTTATCCAAGTCATGAGAGCATGTCGCAAGACTGCTGGCACTGAATCAAGCACCCATCAGCTGGACCAGGGCTTGCCTAGCGACATCCATCCCGAAGAAGCCGTAGAGCAACGTTGGTGGGGATGTTCCAGTGATTGGTCCACTGGCCCCGGGTCCCTGCATGCAGTGTGAAGCGACTAATGTTCGGCAAAGCCACATAATTGAATCGACAAAGCTAGTAGAGATCATGGAAAGAGTGGCTGGTGAGGGTGTCTGTGGCTGGTAAGCGCCATCAAATGGGGTCCTTGCGTGGGGGACACGATGGCTAAAATTTAGTGGGCTAAAGAGTGATTCGGCGAAGTCATCGTGACCAAGTGGCGGCCGTCTTCGTGATATCGACGTTCTCACCAGAGTTGCCCTTCCTCTTTCACCTACTGGCCATAGCTCAGAAAAGCCAGGGTGATCGCCGACGTTCCTTTCTTTCTCGCACTCTCTCCTCGTCAGGCTCGGCACCATAGACTCATCCTCTCCTTCTCGTGTTCCCACAAGCTCACTGCCTACTCGTCATTCTTCGCTCCCCTTTCCCATCCACCCAGCAGAGGGAGAGAGTATGGTATCATGATAAACGGTCCAACGTCCTCAAATGAGGCATCATCAGACGAGATGGCTTTCAAGGTTCTACAGTCAGCGCTGCAACAGGGTTCAGCGGCGAGGCTGGGTAGCCTTGCGTTGCCTAACCGTAAAGTCATCGACACACCCAATTTCATCGCCATCTCATCAAGAGGAACCGTGCCTCATGTCACGCCAGACATTCTCTCAAAACACGCAACTTTTAGAGGTGCCTACATGGCCCTCGAGGATTGTAAGCGCCCAAGACGCTTTCGCACAGGACATTGAGACTCATACCAACCCTCTAGTCATCGAGAAGAAGAGCCCGCCTATTCTGAGCGCTCCGCCCACGCTGGCCAGGCCGCTGCACGCCTTCACAGGCTTCCCTCGCGATATGGCGACCATCATGGGCCCGCGCAGATGCTCACCGGTGAAGACGCCAGTCGGGCAATGGCAGCCAGTCGCTCTCAATCTGGACGTCAACTGGAGCGTCGACGCTGCCTATCGATACGTATGCCGCGCACATCGAAGCACTCAGCCCCGACATTGCCATCGCGCCCGCCGATCTCTTTCACACAAGTGTCCGCCCGCCCGCCAAGAAACTCGTGCGCATGGCGGATCGGACCGAGGAGTGGGTGGCCCGGTTCCTGAAGCCTAGCCGCAGGGAAAAGCTGCGCGAATCCGGAACTGCAGTGTTTGCCCCCATTCTAGGAGTGCCGCACCATGTTCAGTGGCAGTACCTCAAGCAATTGTCCGAGGACGACATTGACGCACTGGTAGGCCTGGCGATCTACGATGTTGACCTGCTACCAGAGGTTCTCGAGCACTACAAGCCGTTGGTGCCCCTGGCGCGACTCTCGCTCCATACTGTTACATCGCCCCAGCAGATCCTCGAGCAGATCGCTGCCGGCGTCGACATTTGCGCTGTGCCGTTCCTCAACACCACCTCTGACGCGGGCATCGCGTTTGACTTTACGTTCCCGCCCCCGCAGGGTCCCCACGAACACCCACTTGCCCTGGGCACCAGCATGTGGTCGCCCGAACACGTCACATCGGTGACACCGCTTGCCCCAGGCTGTCAGTGCTACGCATGCACGAAGCACCACCGGGCCTACATCCACCATCTCCTCAACGCAAACGAGATGCTCGCATGGACGCTGCTGCAGATGCACAACCACCACGTGGTTGGTGAGTTCTTTGCTGGTATTCGTGCCGCCTTCGCAGCAAGTCCCACGCGGTTCGAAGAGCTCTCAGAACAGTTCGTGGCAACGTATGAGGCGGAAATACCACTCGGGACTGGTTCGCGTCCCAGAGCTCGAGGGTATCATTTCAAGGGCATCGCGAATCAACCAAAGATCAACGAGAGCAAGTGGGCCAACTTCAACGACGGCAACGCAGACGCAGAGGGCGCTGTGCGTCCCAGTGACGCGACGGACGAGTCTGCTCAAGCTGCAAGGAGCGCGACAGAGACCCCTGTGGTGCCAGATGAGAGCTCCGTTGAGCTAGACAAGAAGGGCTTCGCATCTAAAGAGGAGGGCGGTGCGCTGGTCAAATAATACATTAAAAACCATTCTGCTACCTTGATGGCCATGATGCGCGCTCCGACGAGGATGCCATGCAGCGGGCTGCGGGCACTATGGATGCTTGATGCACGATCTGTTCGGCAATCTGACGGATGATGTGATCTGCAAATTTGACAGGAATCTAGAGAATGTCACATTCGAAATCTGAGACATTCGATAACTCGAGACGTGGTATCTCGCAGTATTCAAAGAAGACCGACTGCTTTCTGTCCGCCGTCCGCATAGTAGATCGACTTGGTCCCAAGACTCGGCAAAACCATGCTGACTAACGTACAAGCCCACCAAAACCCGACCTTAACAGCAGACCACCCTCAGAAGACCGAACAGGAGCCAAAAAAACAAATCATTGACCAACACAAGACCTGTACAACACTCAATAGCCAGACTAATGAAAAGCGGGCAGCTGCATGCAGCTTCGGTCAACTGGTTCCCCCTCACCTCCCCCTGCACCGTCAATGCTGGTCCTACCCGACCAGCCTTCACAGCCAATGAGAAGCTCGGAATCGTCCACGAGGCTTCGAGCCGTCCGGTTTGCCTTTTCCGCCAGATCAACAGCATCATCGATCATCGACAACCCTGCACCTGGGAGCTCGCCATTGACGAATCATCATCCTGCAAGCGTCCGAATGCACCATGCTACCCCTCTCAACTGGACTGACCTCACCCTGTTGTAACCCCCGCCGGCCTTCGACCCTGATCGGACAGACAGGCCGCTACTCTGTTCAGCCCACTTCTTCTCGTTCAACTCCACCCTGACACGGTCCTTGTCGACACCGAAGAAGCTCTCTACGCGAGTGAACATCTTCGAGCATCCTCTTCGGTGATCTTCATTTCCACCCTCACGCTGCACTGGCAGCGCGCTAGGCCTCGACCTGCCGAGCTGGCGACACGGAGAGGTACAGCACGTGCCCTCATCGCTCAACATGATCGGCTGAACGTTCCACGTTGCTCATCACCGGTCATCTCTCTTTGCCCCACCCCAGCCCTGTACCGGTCGTTGCACGCTCGCTCCGATGTCTTATCACCAACGAGTGGAATCATGCATACCTCCCTCCAATTGCTTGGGGAAACCAACAAGCGGAGCGCCCGCCCCGCACGCGTGCCCCAAGTCGCAGGGTTTAGAACAGCTGCAACGGCTGCTCGTCTGGGTTCGTCAACCCACCACGAGCAAACCAGGTTCACCACAGTCTCTGCAGACCACGTCGTAGCCGCGGTCGCGAAGCCGTCTTGAGCCTGGCGCCATGCAGCAATGACAATGGATCCGGCGCCGGGCGAGAGCTCTGCAACCTCGCAAAAGTCCATGGATCGGCACGTGCGGCTGGCAGGGTTCGATAGCTTGACAGTTTGGAAATCACCCCCCGAGCCGTATAAGTTCGAGCCCTCGATGCATCTCCAGCCGCCCAACGGTCCTTTGTTGCTCTTCCCTTGTCCGGCCACACCTGCGCCAGCGTTGTAAAGCTTCCCTTTCTCAAAGAAACCTTGCCGACCTAGGAGATCGGACAGCGAGAAGGCATCAGGCTCAGCGTCACCATGGCCAAGCTCAACATTCTCGCCCTCGCGGCCGCCGGCCTTTCTGCCGTCTCAGCCCAGACGTTCCAGCGTCTCGGCTCGTGCCCCGACCTTGGCTGCGTCCTGCCGCCCGACCAGTCCGACTTTCTGCCTGGCCAGTTCTTCGACCTTCGCGTCGAGGTTCACGCTCCCATCAACGGCTCGGAGGCTTTCAACAAGGGCGTTCCGGACGAAGACTTCTCCGTCACCATCACCAAGGAGGGCGGCGAGACCAAGTCTCTTGAGGAGTTTTTCAAGATTGATAAGGAGCCAAAGCTCGAGTCCTTGGACCTTCCACTGGTACGAGGACCTCTACGCCGAGGATGCCAAGGAGAGCTCTGCCGTCAATGTGGCGTCCAAGGTCTGGCGCCGCATCGCTATTTACGAGCCTGGCAACTACGAGGTCAACCTGAGCTACTATGGCGACAAGAAGACCACCGCCAACTGGGTCGTGCGACCTCTGGCGACGGAGAAGAAGGCCAAGAACATCATCTTCTTCATCGGTATGTTTCAGATGCAGCTCAATTGCTGAAACCAGCTAAATGGTCTTTTCTAGGTGACGGCATGACCACGAATATGGTATGGATGGGAGATTGAAAATCTACAACGGTGCCAGGACTGACAATGACCCCAACAGATCACTGCCGCTCGTCTCCTCGGACACAAGAGCATCAATGGAAAGTACCAGACGAAGCTGGCTCTCGACAGCTTCCCTGTCCTTGGTCACCAGATGACGCACTCCATCGACACCTACATCACCGACTCCGCCAACTCGGCTTCTGCTCTGTACACCGGCCACAAGAGCACCGTCAACGCCATGGGGTGAGCAAGATTGGGGAAATTCATGTACTGCCAGAGCTAATTGGCCCCAGTGTCTACGCCGATTCTTCTCCCGATCCATTTGACGACCCCAAGGTTGAGACCATTGTTGAGCTCAGCACGCGTATCTGGGTGAGTACTCCCAAACAGGCCCTGTCCACTACAAGCAAGACTAACAAGTGTAGGGCACAATCTGGGGCGCTGTGTCGACCGCCTTCATGGCCGATGCCACCCCCATCGCCTTGACTGGCCACACCCGTGCTCGCTCGCAGTACGGACCCCTGATCGAGCAGGCTCTGAACGGTATCAGCAACTACTCCTGGCCCAGCCACAAGGGCCCCGACGTCTACTTCGGTGGCGGCGCTGAGCAGTTCATCCCCGGCAGCGGCTCCTACAAGGGCAAGGACTACTACGCCGAGTTTGCCAACCAAGGCTACACTGTTTCGCAGAACAAGACGGCCCTTGAGGCCGCTGACTCTGGCGAGAAGGCCCTCGGCATCTTCTGCAAGGGCAACCTTCCCACCTGGCTCGACCGCAACGTCTACACCAATAACCTCCAGGGCCTCAAGAACAGCCCTGCCGGCGGTGATGGCGACGCCAAGGACCTGCCCGGTCTCAAGGAAATGACCCTGAAGGCCATTGACGTCCTTCACAACCGTGCCAGCGAGGATGGTTTCTTCCTCATGTCTGAGGCTGCCTCCATCGACAAGCAGATGCACGCTCTTGACTACGACCGCGCTCTTGGTGACCTTCTCGAGCTCGATGATACAGTCCGCGCCACGATTGCCAAGCTGAAGGAGCTCGGCATCCTCGACGAGACCCTGATCGTGGTCTCTGCTGATCACGGCCATGGCTTCGAGTGAGTGCTGAGACCCCATTTCTGGTGTACGTACCAAAGCTAACCAGCACAGCGTCTTTGGCGGTACCGATACCAAGTACCTCGCCGAGCAGGAGGACTTCCGCTCCAAGCGCCGCGCCGTCGGCACCTACGCTCGCTCGGGCCAGTCGCAGTATACCTCGCCCAACCCCAACGTTAGCTACAACACCGGCCCCAACTTTCCTCTGAACTGGACGCCTCGCTACGCCATTGCCGCCGGCTTCGGCGCCAACCCCGACCGCCGCGAGAACTACCGCCTTCACGAGTCTCCCCGCAAGCCCACTGTGCCTCTGGCGCCCAACGACAACTACGTCAACCCCAAGGACGCCCCCGACGGCTTCGTTGTCAACGGCACCATCCCCGTCGACGAGGCTCAAGGCATCCACTCGCTGACGGACGTCATGGTGTACGCCATGGGTCCCTGCCAGGAGACCTTTGGCGGGTCGTACGACAACACGGACATCTTCTACAAGATGGCCAACTGCTTCGGCCTCGGTCAGCCCAGGGATAGCAACAGCCCTTGCAAGAGGAAGCGCGCTATCGAGTGAACGAAAGGGTCGTGATGTTGATTTAAGGCATGAGTAGCGTGGTGTTTGGCGGGAGCTGAAGGCGGTGGCCTTATTTGATAATGTAGTCTACTTGCTACCAATACAGTGAAATCTTAATCTCGTGTCCGCCGTTGCATGGCCAGAGCACTTTTGTGGCGCTCAGGAACCTTTTTTTTTTTTTTTTTTTTTGCTCTGGCTTGGCTTGGCCTCTGATTTCGGTCATGTCTCATCGACTCTGCTTGAAAAAAAAAAGGGTTTAATATATTTGGAACCATCAATCCCAGAAACTCAGGAAGCTGAGGGACTGATGTGAAGGGATCGAGAGGGAAAGGGGCCGATGACATAATCGCCCAACTAGCACCAGGGGTCCAACGCCCCCACCCCAAAGAAATCTCAGTAGCAGGCACAGCGGGGTCATGCCCCTCGGCAGGAGCACTGAGCCAACGTCATCTCGACCCCACCAAAGCAGTGAATTGATCACTCACCCACCCACCCACACAGTCAGCTTGAGCCATCCGAGTGCATCCCCCTCAGCCATCACGACGGCTAGGCAACCAGGCATATCGACAGAACGCATTGGAGGCACCCCTTCATCCTCTTCATCCAAGACACCGGCCCAACACAGCTCGAGGCACCCACACACAGTCAAGATGCCCGCCCGCGTCCCCACCGAGGCCGACTTTGCCCACCTCACCTCCTCCCCCGCCGTCAAGATCGCCCTGACATGGCCCAAGCCCGCCGAGCTGACGACCTCGTTCCTCATTGTCTTCCACGGGCTCGGCGACCACGAGATCCCCTACGCTGGCTTCGCCGAGGGCATCAACCTCCCCGGCGTCTTGAGCATCGCCGTCCAGGGCACGACGCCCCTGCCGCTCGCGCTCCTCGGCGACCCGGACGCCCAGCCCGGGCGCAACTTCCACTGGGGCGACGACATCAAGATCGATGACGAGACGGGCGAGATTGACCCGGACCCGGGGTACGAAAAGGCCGAGACGATTGTCCGCGAGCGGCTGATCAAGGAGACCCTCATCGACAAGCTCGGCTGGAGCCTCAGCGACATCATGTTCTTCGGCTTTGGCCAGGGCGGGTCCCTGGCGCTGGGCTTGGCGTCGAAGCTGCGGGTCGGGCAGGCGCTGGAGGAGGAGGACGGCAAGGCGCCGGAGGACGCGGCGTTCAAGGGCGTGCTGTCGCTGGGCGGGCCGCTGCCGGGGTCCATGGTGCCGACGGTCAGCGCACGTGGCAAGGCCAAGACCAAGGTCCTGGCGCTGCAGTTTGAGCTGGACGAGATTGAGGAGCTCAAGGCGGAGTTTGAGAATGTCGAGGTTGCGCACTGGAGGAGAAAGGGCGTGTCGATGCCGAGGGAGAAGGAGGAGATGGTCCCCATCATGAAGTTCTTTGCCGACTGCCTCAACGATGGCGTGACTGGCGTTGGGGGGCCGAGCGTGTAAGCACGATTGGGGTCATAAGAGAGAGGGGGGGATGGCAAGATCAAAAAGCCGATGAAAGGCGTTGTGGCAACACCGAAGAACAGGTGATAATGAAGGGCGACGCCATGCAATATCAAAAATCGATATACGACGCCATGCAATTCAGAGTGTGACGTCAAACATTTGAAGCTGCAGAGGGCCCCATGATGCTCACGGGTTGTGCTCAATTGAACACGGAAGCTGGCCTTTCAAGCGCGTATTCGGCTGAACATGAGGTCAGAAGGGGCCGAAATGAAGATTAGATTGCGTTGACGCTAGAGATTACAAATTTCCTACTTGACCAGGCCATGGTGTCTAATAAAGTGGTCGCTGCTGATATTGTGGTGCAATGAACTGTCCACCCATCATCATTGGATACTGCTGCTGCTGCTGCATCTGGGGTGGAGGAAGTTGTCCACCCATCATAACAGGATACTGCGGCTGCGCGACTTGCATCGGAAAGAATTGATTCCCCATCATCATGGGGTACTGCTGCGGCGGCGGAGTCGTCTCCCTGCCATAGAACCGGTGTGGGTTCAAAGGAGCGCTCAGCCAGGGGTCTTGTTCAGTACGGCGCTTGTTCCAGGGACTGGGACTCTCGAGGGTGTCGATCCGGCTGACCAGCCCGCCGGATGTGTGCGGCCTTGGCATGTGAGGCCTTTGCAAGGAGATTTGCGACGAGTTGTTCATATGCATCGTGTGGCCGTACTGATGGCCCGTCGCGGTGAGCCCTGGGGATGGTGTGACAGACCGCGTGGGAGCTCGCGGTTGCGGCGGCGAGGGAGTGGCGAGTTGTCGGCTAGGTGCTCGGGTGTGTGGCCTCGGGGGACGAAGCGTATTCTGCGGGCTCCTTTCCTTCTGGTGTCCCTCATTTTTCTTTGCGCCTCTTGCTTTGAGGAGCAAGGCGACTGGGACATCTTCATCATCTTGATCCGCTGCCGCAGCATTGACCTGGTCAGCAAGCGTCTTGTCGCTGCTCGACTGCCGCTTGGAACACGCCGACAGCCATGTCTCGACCGATGCATCTGCGACGGCCGGTGACTCGGGGCGGGCTCCCGTGTCTGGCTGCCCGACACCTCCACCCCCTGATACTTTTCGCCTGTTGTACCGCTGCTCGGCGATGTACGCTTGTTGGCGATCCCTGTGTTGGAACGCGTCTTGTTTCGTTTGCCTTTCATCCACGTCGTCAAGGTCGTTCTCGTCTTGCGAGTAATCGCTTTCGTCGTCCAGTTCGTGCTGGTGCATCATCTTCGCCCGTCGGTACATCTCAAACTCCTGGGCCGTCATAATCTTGCTCTGGCTGCTCGCGGAGGATCGCTGTCGTCGATGGCCTCGATAATCTACGGACAAAGAAAAGAACGTCAGATCATTCGGGTCAACCAGTGCGTCTATAGATTCGTCCGTACCGTTTGCTGCTCCTCTTTGCTCTGGGCTTGTTTGTTTTCCGTCGTCAGAAACGACATCATCTACGGCAGGCGTTAGTTTTCGTAACTGCTTATGGATGCAGCGCTGTGAGGTACTCACCGATCACCAATGATTCGATAATGGCAGGCATGGTGTCCTGGGAGAATAATCCAGGGTACGGCTGGTTCTCTTCGGCGGCATCGTCACGAAAGTCCCCGTGCTGAGCAGGCTGGGCTTCCTCCTCGATGGCCTGCATCATGGTCGGCTGAGACATTGTGGCGAGAGGCTGGCGGTGATGGTGGACAACAAAAGTGAGGCTTTGCAGTGTCTAAAAGCAAAGCAGGCTCGAAGTCGAGATAAGAAATTGGGAGCATTGCAAGACTATGAAGGTCAGGCCGGGGCGACCTTTCCTTAAGGCAGCCTGCCGACGGACCATGCATGAGGTCTCCTCGTATTGTGCCCTGGTCATCGTCCCGTCCAGCACAGACTGTGGGGAACACGAGGTCTGGCCCGGCTCTATGATCCCTGGATTGCTTCTATTCTCGGGTTTTAGGGGTGTTTTTTGGTGGAGGACTACGGCACGCCAGGCAGGCAATGATCGGGATCCTCCACCCTGTTCTGTTATCGATAGTTTTTCTTTTGCAGAGCGGGACCGTGGCTGGATGCCTATGAAACCCCGGTTTTGTTGGGGCAAAGGAATTCTGTTGTTCCTACCCCTTATTTTCCGCCGTCAATTCTTTTTGCTCATTGGGGGGGGGAGCCGGCGAAATGATTTTGCACCCCTTCGCCAAGCCTTCTGGTCTCCATCCAATTCCTTTTGTCCGTATGAGGTACAGCGAAGAGCCCCCAACTACAGGAGTCTCGGTCTTTCCCGCGGGAAGCTATGGCCGCCTGACATGTCCAGATATGGTCTCTAAAAGCGAGTACCGTGGCATTTTAGCATCGCCCCTTCGACTCGGTCCCACTGCACGCAAAACAAGATATCTGTTTGGTGGACTATGGTTCGGCTCCGCTTAGAAATTCAAGCACGATTCTGGCCAACATTGAAATTTGATCTATAGAGCGCACATCAATGGCATCGTTGGCGTTCCAAACGTTGCAATCGCCCCGCGCTCCACACGCAAATTGATACAAATATGAGTCTTCGAGGGAGTAATATGGCGTCCTGTGCAGCTCTCGTTTTTTCACATTCCCAAAATGACAGCCGCTCCCGAGTCTCCCAGGCCTCAACTGAAGGCTTTACTGACACCTACTCTCTTCACCAACATCCGCCGAGTCTGGTTCGCCCACATCTCTGATGCCGAACACATCTTTGTCCCATCGCTTGAAGATGCCTTACACTGGTTCACTCGGAATGAAGAGTTCGATGGCGTTTGCAGGTGAGGATTCATCACCGCAACTTCAACGCAGCCTGAACCAGACTAAAGGCGCCATCATGTAGGGCAGAGTTTGGCTCCACATTAGCGGCCCTCGAGGGGTTGACCTTTGACGGGTCAGACATGATCGCGGCAGCTGAACTCACGTCTCCGCTTGACTGGATGAGCCTGATCATCCTTCTCGACCAGATCACGCGAAACTGCTTCCGCAATGACGAGGCCGGCAGGGCGTATGGTTTCTTCGACGAAAGGTGTCTGCAGCTGGCACTCAAAGCGATCGAGAGAAGGATCCCTGAAGACCCGGAGATTCGGTACCGCCAGGCATACAGGTTCTGGTTCTACATGCCTCTTGAACATTCGGAGAGCATGCAGATGCAAGACATGTTGTTTTCAGAGCACAGGCGCATGTTCAGCGACACTCTCTGCGTCCTCTATGGGCTGAAGACAGAACTCGGAGAAGACATGCAGGCGGTCCTCTCGACCAAAGAAGTGCTCGAACGCCGGCGGCCCGCTCTTGAGCCCTGGATTGGAACGCTTTCCAGGATCGTAACCGAACATAGAAATGTTCTGGAGCGCTTCGGGCGGTACCCGCATCGGAACCAAGCTTTGAAACGAACTTCTACGGCCGCTGAGGTGGCTCATTTGAAGATTCGCGGGTAGTGGCCGTTGGCTAGTATGGCGCGTCTAGATTTGACAAATACGTCGAAGACATGTAAAGCTACCTAGACTCCTCCAGTCTATCTGCGCCCGACCAAAGATAAACAATATCTGTGCTATTCACTAGAAGGCTCCCAAATCCCTTCCCTATTGTAACACGGGCTTTGTGTGACGTCATTCGCGATGACACTGGGAGACGTCATCTTCGAGGGTCAAGTCACCTGCAACCGAAAAAACAACCAGAGGCCAACCGTTGTACGTCAACGGAGACAACTCAGTCTGGTAATAAACAAACTTCAAGCAAGGGAAAAAAGAAATCAGGGCATTCTCACCATCACGCATGAATTCACCATATTCTAGTTCTTTCTCTTGACCCCCCTAGATTCAACACAGCAATGGCCGAGGCACTCGCTGGAGCTGTTGCCGTCGAGCAGGTCATTTCGACCGCTGTCGAGGCGACTGCCGTTGCTGCTCTCGCCAAACCAACTCAGCCTTTGAAAGGGTCGTTGTCACAGATTGCAACCTTTCCTGCCAACGATGGCCAGTAAGTCATCGTCCTCTCTGTCGTCTCTCCGAGCGTCATGCCGAATACCCGTATGTGCTGACTCCCACGTGCAGGCTTTCGCTTTCTCGATACAATCACACCGTCACCGTCATCGAAGGCAAAGCCTACATGTTTGGAGGCCAGAAGCAAGACAGCCAGCTCTGCTCTGTCAACATTCATGCTCTTGCGATCCCGACCACAGGCGCTGCTGCGGCCAGCGAATATGCGTGCTACCCCGCGCTGGCGATGAAGGACGTCGACACGGGCGAGATGCTTGTGCCGGCTCCGCGCACAGAACACGCCGCCTGCGCCCGCGGTCAGTACCTCGTCGTCCACGGTGGTCGGGACGCAACGGGCGCTGTCATCGACGAGGACTGCATCTGGCTCTGGGACTCGCGTGCCCTGAGCTGGTCTCGCATCCAGGCACCGAGCCAAATCGGCAAAAGGCTGTCCCCTCGATACGGCCACCACATCTTTCTCGCCGGGAAGGAAGACGTCCTCGTCCTACACGGAGGCCGTACTGGACCAGAGAGTCCGGCTGACAAGGAGACGTGGCTCTTCACGTTCGACACGCTGGCGTGGACGAAACTACCATCGGCTCCGGCGGCCCCGATGGCAGCCGCGTTAGTGGACCACGCCTTGTACACAGTTTCGAGGGGCGTGAATACACCTGGCGCGATAAACTTTCTCGACATCAGAGGCAGCGCGGCGGATCGAGAGAGGGCTGATGCGCTGGCATGGCAGACAGTGGACTATGCAGTCAGTCCACTGACCCCTGCCCCCGAACCACGTGAAGGCGGCGCCCTCGTGCCGATTACGACCGGAGTGGGCCGGAATTACCTTATTTACATGTTTGGCCACTCTGACGGCGCATTGGCTGACGAGGGAGACTTTTACTCAGACATCTGGTCGCTACAGGTGCCTAGTCGGGGACTCAGTGCCGCGGCTCTGAAGGACGCCATCCGCGAGAAGCTGCCGCGGGCGGAATCGGGAGAGTTCGGCTGGGCTGAGGTCGAAATCGTGCCAGTGGAGAAGGACAGCGGGGGTGGCAAGGCGCATCCGGGACCACGAGCTTTGTTTGGCGCCGCTGCCGCTGGGGACGCAAACTTGGTCTTCTGGGGAGGCATCGATGGCAGTAGCAGTGGGAATGTGGAAGACAGCTGGTTCCTTCAGATACAGTGAGGACCTAGTGAACAGGGCGAAGAACACAACAACATCAAACTTGCAAGAGCTAGCGCACTCTGTTTTCAAGTGTGTCGTCCTTTTAGGGTTTGGTTGGTATCAATCGGGAAGCAAGCATTGGAATAGGCACCTCTGAACCCGGAAAACAAGAGGTGATACGCCGCGATAGATTATCGTATGTGGCGAAAGACTACAAGATTTCGAGGACAGAGAGACATCTAGGGTCCAGTGAGAAGGCCGCCTCTCACGACCAGCATGAAGATTAGTGACGCTTCGCACGAAGAACTCAATGTGTGACGCAGACCACGTCACCTCAGGATGCAGATACACCGGCCTCATGACCGTATGTCCCGCAACGCATACAACTCTGAGTTGAATATCGACAAGAACGGAAGCAGTCAAGCAGTTTCTTCATCAATATCCAATTATATTAAAAGAATGACTAAGACCTGGACCCATGGTCCCAAGTTTCAGAGCTGTCCTCAAAGGACTTCTCTGAACGACATATCTGCAGCACACACCACCAGATATGAATAGAACGACCAAATTCCTGGCCATGTGCTCCACGAATTGCCAACATGAGCATGAACATTCTGCGCATGTCAAATGCTGCCATGGGTTTAGCGGAACAACAAACACAGAGCAGAGTCATGCGCGCTTAAACCTTGGTGCCAACGACTTGGTGGACCTCCTGCTCGGAAGAGGGAACTCGCTCGGTCTCCTCCTGCTGAAGTTCCTTTTCGACGTGGTCGAGGTTTAAATGGGCGACGGCGGCACGGTCTCCATCGATCACCTGTGCAAGCTCCTCCAGGGTAGGGCCACGAGTCTCGACGTACATGAAGTAGATGAAGATGACCTCGCCAAGAACCCAGACCGTGTAAATAAGGTAAAGCCTCCAAGTGTTGCCGCCGTATCCAGTGTCTTTGTTGGCCTCATCGGTCTCCCAGGCCTCAAATGCCACGGGGTTGAGATATGCGTTCAGAAGAAGAGCGATTTGAATCGAAATGTTGAGGAACATGAGACCCTTGGCACGAAGCGAATAGGGAAGAATCTCAACTGCATAGCCGATCAAGAGACCAGACCAGCAGGTAGAGTAGAAGACACCATGGAGCCAGACCAGGAATATCATGGCGTTGTTGGCGCCAGCAGCTCTGTGCTGTTCGGAGAGGCCGCAGGTGAGGGTCCAGAAGACGAGTGTGAGGAACATGCCGCTCGTGGAGAAGAGGAAAGAGAAGCGTCGGTTGAGACGTTCGACGAGAAGAGCGCAGCTGATAGAGACGAACATGTCGAGAACAGTCTTGCCAGCAGTTATAGCCAGGCGCTCGGTTTCACTCGAGATACCAGCATTGGTGTAGAGACGTGCAGAGTAGTTGGAGACAACGCCGTTGCCGGACCATTGGGAGAAGATACCAAGAGAGAACAGCACGGCAAGACGGTAACGGTTTCCCTTCGTCTTGAAGAAGTCAACATACTTGGTGCTGTTGTCAGCCTCCTGTTCCATCTTGATCGTGTCGCGGATCTCGCGGAACTCGAACTGGACTGTTGGGTGGTCGACATTGCCACTGGCGTGGTACTTGGCGAGAATGGCTAGGGCCTCATCTTGACGATCCTTGGCGATGAGGAAACGAGGAGACTCAGGAATCCCTAACCAGCTACGTTAGTGCAAATCCAGGCAGACAAAGACGGAACCAAGTGTCATTTTGTGACTTACACCACAGAACGATCAGTTGCAGGAGACCAGGAGCACCCTGCAGAATGGCAGGGAAACGCCACGACCAGTCGTTGCCCCAGAAATGGGTCCCGAAGCAGGTCCAAGAGACGAGAAAAGACCCAAGATTCCAGAGACAGTTGTACACAGTAGTGAATCGAGCGCGGTGCTGAGGGTGACAGATCTCGGCCAGAAGCATAGGGGAGCAGATCTGAGCGAACGAATTGCCGAATCCAAGGAGGACACGACCGCCAGAGTAAGTTGCATAGTCGGGGGCGGCAGCCTGAAGAGCGGCGCCAATGGCCATGATGATGAAACCAATGGCAATGGAGGGGCGGCGGCCCCAGCGGTCGGCAATGATAGGAACGATAGGAATGGAGGCAACAGAGCCAATCTGGTAGAGAGCGACGAGAAGTCCAAGCCTATCGCCGGTAGGCCTATCGAAGAACTCGTTCCAGCTGTCGAAATTCTGGACGGTACCCATGTACATGCTGATGACTGTGTCAGACTGATGATCAACAACGATGTCTCGGAAAACCTACCCGTCCCAGCCAGTTCCCATGGAAGAGACGCAGAGCACAACCGAGTAGAAGGTCAGGACCCTGAGGCCGGGCTCCCTGTACCAGACTACGTGCTCAAACTTGGGCGCCTCATCACGAATCTTCTGCGTCTTCTCGTCGGTCCCGAGACCGATGATCTCCTTGATGCCCATGGCGAGCTGAGGCTGATGGGATAAAGGTGGTGAGGGCGAGGCAAGATGATTGTCTTCTGGTGCTCAAAAAAGAATCTGACTTGTCAAGCGCCTGGCGGACTTCCTTCGGTTGAGTTGAAGAACAAAAGGGAAAGGGAGAGTAAGGCAGCCCCAGATATATAGAAGACGTGAGTGAAGGGCGTGGTACGCAGCGACCTGGGCCTGGGCAATGGCGGGCAGGCGGACCGCCCTTCAGATCCAGATCACGGAGAGAGAAGGCGGTCCCTCAAAGTGGAAGACGCACCCCATCTATTCATCAGACGAGGGGCCCCGCCACCCCCAAATGTCCCTCGCCCGGTGGACAGATGCTCATGGAGTTGCCGAGGACGAGCAGGGGTCGCGAGGGAGGGTATGCGCCAGCATCTGTCGAAAGCCAGGTCAGGGTTGATGTAGCTGGGCCGAGAAGTGGAGTGAGGAATGAGTGACAGACCACCCAGGTGTCGTGTACGGAGCGAGAGTCGCATTTTGCCGGAAGAGAATCGAGACGATATTTTGCTGCCGGAAAAGGGGGGCTTTGTTCCACCTTGGCCATCTTTTGGGGTCTTGGAAGTCTTGGAAGTCTTGGAACGCTCGCTGGCCTTGCAAGTCTTGGATGTTGGAGTAGCGTTGGAAGTTGAGGAAGTCATGAGGCTCTGCCAAGAAGGGGGGCAGCTGCCCCGGGGTAGGGGGGGCGGCCTGTGAGCCCGGGCCGCGTGGCGCCTGCCAAGCTGTGCCCGAATAAGCGAACAGGCATGTCTTCTAAGGTATGTACCTAAGGTAAGGTACCTTACCTTAGGGTACTTAGGTAGGTGAGGTAGGTAAGTAGGGGCCCGAAGTACTGAGGCGTCTTCAATGCATTTGTGATTACCTCGACAGGACAGGGCAGTCAACAGCGGTGTCTGGAAGGCCTGAAAGGCTTGATTGAAACCCCATCTTGACGAGGTACTTGTGGGGAACATGCAGAAGGACATCTATGTTCTAACCAAGCTGGCAGACCTGATATTACAGGTATTTGTGAGAAGGGCGTGCAGTGGATTGGTTCGGTGCGTTCGATGGCTGAGGCAAAGACAAATGACTGAGGACCAAACCTGTCCACCGCCATAGTCCTCTGTCGCTTGGGCTCATGACTCTCTTCAAGTGAAGCCACACTCGGATACAAATTTGCCCCAGCTTAGAATTAGGGGAAAAGGGGGGCATGGGGTAGGCACTTGAGGTGATGAGGTTAGTACGGTAGGTAGATGCCTTGGTGCTCGCCTGTTTGCCTGATTCCTTGCAATTCGAGTGCTGTGCAATGTGCATGCCCAGCCCTATGGCGGCGCGCCTCGCAGGACTGTAAAGCATTCGCTGGTGTCTGAGTCGTCCAGCCCATTTTACTGGAAATCTTGGTCCTTCTCGGAACCAGGAAATCAGGTCCGCCGACGCGCGAAAGAGCACCAACCCACGAGCGTGGTCCGTCTCTTCCTCTTGGGTCGCCTGGCCGCAACATCGTCCTGCATCGAAAGCTCACAACTTTGCCGCCGTGGCCTTGGGCCACATGACGGCGCCTGGCGCCTGGGCAGACGCTTCACATACCCGCGACAAGGGCCACGAAAGGATCATGGACATCTCGACGCGTCGAAAATTCCCCTTAAAGAATGCAGGGCTAAGGCCGGTAGTCTACGGCTCTATCCCAGCCGCCTTTAGCCTGATCTTCCTTCTGATGCCGCGGCACGCCTCTGATCAGGCGGGACTCCTTTGATCTTGGGGAGGAGTTCATTTTGGAATGGCCAAAGCAGGAGGCGCGAGCCATGATTTGCTGCTGTGCCCCGAACCAGATGTTTGGATCCGCCACTTCTCCGGTGTACTATGTAGCACGGCCAGCACAACTTCTACTGACTGTCCTGATGGATCTGTGCAAGGGTGTCACATTCGGCTAAATGCGGGTAAATAAAGGTTATATTAACGCCAAGACCATCTCGGCTCCGGTTCACAAGCTGGGTCAATACTCACACCTTTCCCTCGCCTGCCCTGACTTACGCCGCTCAGCAAGATATTAAGGACAGGTCTGAAACTGCTTCTTTTGGACACGAACATGCCAAACAATACACCATCGCCTCATTGGCATGGAAGCCAACCATCCATGAGCCGCCTTGTCGCGTGGCAGGCTTGCATGTCGCGGACCATAAAAGATCGAGGATCCGCAGCCAAGATAGCAACTGGAGACCAAGAGGGCGCTGACCAGCTCTCTCGTAGCTCTCATACGGCGCTGACCGCCGCCAAGGTCTTGACCTCCACACCGACTCCATATATCCAGACATTCTTGTCCACCCAACAAGACTTTGCCCAGCGCTTCGCCGTCCTCGAACGACGTGGAGTTCAGGGACCGAGGGCCGATGTCCCCTGTTTGCTGGGCACATTCCGGTCAATTATGAATGTCGCGAGGTGTAGGACCGGAGCACCGTCGTCGATGCAGCATGCTGACGAACGCGTTCTTAGGCACACGTGAGCTCCCACCCTTTTCCCCCGGTGCTATGCGTGGAAGGTAAAACAGGAGACACCGTCCTCGCATAGTACCATACGATTGACTTGTCCGGGTACCAGTCCCCGCGCTACCCTGAGGCGCTGTGCATGAGCATGCTATAATGATAACGATATTTCCGCTGGCCACTCTGCTTATTTGACGAGCTCCGCCATCGACCAAGGTCTTGCCGATCGGGCGAGCAGCCTGGATTTCTTGGAACCAAGTGGTTACGGTGACGCCGGCCGGTGAGTCCAGCTCATACCGAGCCAGCATCGATTCGCCCATGTCGAATGTGTAGTGATCTAGACTTACCACAGGGCGTGGCCAACCAAGCCGCAATACTGTCAGGACCCCTGCGGAGCCACCAAGGGCCTGCCAAGCTAAGGGGCTGGCTAGGGGACTAAGGGCCCGGAGAGAACGTATATATAGGCTGCGGAGGGCTCCCTAAGCTACGGAGGGCCAGAATTCAGATATATTCCTATCCCATACCTATATTCTATCTATCTGCGGATCCTATGGAAGACCCCTTCACTCTGCTCTAAATAACGCTCTGACAAATACCCTCAGTCATCTGACGATCATATCCACTACGCATCAATTCTGATTCGACTGGCTCCTGCTTCGTGACTATTCGATGGTGTCGGACCAAGATCGTGGCCCCAAAGGTGGCTAGCGACAACCTGTCACAATCAAGACCAAGAGAGGCGCCTACTCAGTCTTCCTTTAATCATTCTCCTCGTATTGCGATTAGCGTTGCCAGGGTGGCAAATGATTAATAGGCCGGAAAGGAGAGAATAGTGCCATTACTTCTCATCATCATTATGCGTGCGTCTACTTCTTGGTACAGGTCCGCCCGACCCGCAGTCGACAGGACAACTTTCACGGCGGTACCATTTTGTGCGTTCTACCCCTATCAGAAGTCTGTCACTTTTGAAGACTGCCAGGAGACGTCTGCGGAGCCACGGAGCAGGGGGCTGGTTCGAGGCTGGGGACTAGGAGAGCGCGTATATAACACCGCGGAGAGCCAGAACTCAGATATATTCTCATCCCAGACCTACCAATTGGCTGTGGATAACACATGCGGAAGAATCTTTTACTCTACTCATCACCACGCTCCGAAAATTGCAGGTGGTAGACTCGTGACGCAACTTTGAGGCAAATTGTTGGTCACTTATGAAGAGCGGACATGTATCTTCACCAAAATCGACGTCCACTACAGACCCTGACGAGAAATGCATGTGGACTTTTTTTCAAAAGAAGTTTATTCTGAAACTGGTGATCCATTAGCAGACAATTAATATTATGTGATCGAGGCTGATGCGCTTAGCTTTTGCGATGAGGGTGGCGGCTCAAATAACAATGACGAGAGTTGTAAAAGGATCATGGGCCACATCTGCGCCTGTTGGCCAGTCCTATCTTCGCAAGCATACTCGAGAGTATGTCCCCGGGACAATAGCTGTAGTCGTCGCAGGCTTATGCATCACCTTGAGAACCTCATTTGGTTCCAAAGTGATTCCAAAGCGTTGAAGGATGTGACATCACGAGTTTATAGCTCAGGGGCCTGGCCGGTGAAATTGTCCACAGGACATCTGCTCGGGTAAGGGAGCTAATCTGGTTATCGGCGGGCATTCTTCTAGCTCTCGGGTAGCACTGTAATTCCGCTGGCAGAACATATTGAGCTAGGTTCTGTACCTGGCACGTCCGATCACGGAGTACCCTCATCTGAGGTTCAGACAGCGCTTCGCCAGCTTCGTGCTCTCGTCAACCTGACCAGAGCATAGGCTTGTAGAGCTATTCAGATGACAAAGCTTGCTGGTGTGGCCCCGAGAGAAGCCCTGATGTCTCGGAAGTTTCCATCCTTACCCTGAAGCTTCATCGCTCGCTGAATCGCCTTGGTCCATTACGCTACTGCTGGTCTGCGTTATGTCGCTCTGGATTTGGCAGCGATGATTTCGGAGCGTCTGCCCATCGGCGGTCATTAATCCGAACACCTGAGCGATGTTGCGTCAACCTTGGATCGTTCAGTTTGACCAGTATCCGCGGTCAGTCTAGATATTTTCCGGACAACAGCTCAGCCAGGGGACACTAGGTATACTCTGAAAATACGATGGACTGCATGCTCCTCTCGGACAAGTGACCGACTGAACGCACCGCAAATAGAATAGCTGACGATCGCCATTCCGGGTTTGTTATGCCGAGTATGGTCAACACAAGTGGATGCGCGAGGAAACACCAGCTCGAGAAGTAGGTTTTCACTCCCGGTTCATCGTGGGACCCAGTTGTACGGTTTCATACAAAGCTATTGCTCTTATTGTTGTGGCCGACAAGGCCGAAGCAACGGCGGCGGCAAACCACAATTCATATTGGGCATAGTTTGTTTAGATGTCTCACACAGTCGGGCTGGCCCCCTTCTAAACGCCATTTGCCATCTAATCGGGTAAAACGGATCCCAGATTGACGGCACATCGCCGATAGCTCTACTCATGTCTCACCTTCATATTGATGCATTTGGTTTGGTGGTGGCCGACGACGCAGCCGCCAAAGAACTCACGACAAGGTGATGTCACTTGCCATTCAGCTTCATGATATTCGCTACGGTACCGAGTTTTCGTCAAGTGCACTGCCTGGACCATGCGACAGCATTCTGAACAGGACGAGATCCACTTGCGAGCCTGCCGCCTAGCTAGCGAACACGACTTGTTTATAAGTGAGAGATGCCTGGCCAAAGTGCCGAAGCGAAAAGCAAAACGATCGCAAAGACTATTGTTTCTTGGCCAGACTTTCGAAAGCCCGAGAATGTACTTCAACATTGTAGCCGCCGCGACGCTTGCCTCTATCACCCTGGCACATGCGTCAGCGCCAGACCCGATCACGACGATCAAATGCGAAGCGGAACAGCCGACTCCAGCACTTTCGACTGTTACTTTTACTGTGGTAGCTGTGGTTGACCCTTCTATCTCCCACTGGGACCAGTTCCTAAGTCAGGCGTGTCCGACTCCCTTCCCTGCCACTGAACTGTGCGCAGAAACTGGAAATGATCAGAATAATCCCGACGTACCCCCAGGGGCAGACAACCCTGGGCATGAAACAACTCCTCATAACGAGGCTCATGACATCGGCTGGTACGAGGTTTGGTGCTTCGACTATCACGGCGGCGAGCCGCCAAGCCACTGGTATTTTGACCACCACTCTTCCCACCCCTACAGCACCGACAGCCACGTACCGTGGCCGAAGCCTACCGGCGGCGACCTTCCGCCCGGCCCTCTTCCCGTTCCTACCAGGGAGCCTCGACCACAGCCAGATAAATCTACAGTCCCCCAACCAGGGCCTGATACAACGTCAACGGGTCACCCGGGCCCACCTTCCGGCTCGTCAACTGATCAGCCAATTCCCACCTCTGAAACTGCAACTGCGGCTCCAAGGCCGTCGAGTTCCACGACAGATCAGCCCAATCCAGTACAATCCTCAATGACCCAGCCTGATCCGTCTTCAGACTTTTCCTCTATACTACCTGTGCCTGTTGTATCTTCGACCAGTCAGTCGGGACCTGACCCATCTTCAGACTCTTCCTCTACACTGCCTGTGCCTGTTCTATCTTCGACCAGTCAGTCAGGACCTGAACCGTCTTCAGGTTCCTTCTCTGCGACGACTGCATCTTCCTCATCTTCGGCGAGTCAATCAGATTCAGAGTCCTCCTCAACTGATCCTGGACCAAGCTCATCTGTGCCGCCGGAATCCCAGTCCCCCAGCTCCTTGCCTCCGACTAGCCTCTTGACAAGTGTTGTCAGCTCCACGACCACATCGGCCAACCCGTCCCAAACATGCGCAGATATCAGTAATGGGTCGTTCCAGAACAACGATATTGGAGCGTGGTACATCTCCGATCAAGTCACAGCGGATTCGGGTATTGTACAGGAAGGTCCCGACGGCGTGGAGTATTCATTTGCCCTGATCCCGTCGCAGCAGCAGTTTGCTCAGGTTTACATCAACCAGTACATCCGCTGTGGTGACCCACCTCCGATTGTCGAGATCCAAGTGCGCTTCAGCTACCAGTTTACTGGCAATTCTCAAGGGTGCAGTATCGCTGCTAGCGTGAACAGGTCGCCAGACAATATCCTCACCATTCAGGATGACGGACAGTCGCCTGGCGTATGGCAGCAGTACGAGGGCCCAGTTATCACTGTGCAGTTGACATACGATCCGCTGTTCACGATCAAGATGTTGTGCCAAGAGGACACTGCGAACACTGAGGCTATCCTGATTACTGAGATCTCAGTATACAACTGAAGTGCTTCTTCATGAAATGTGTAATGAATAAATTCCATCGCATGAGAGAATTCGACGCATAAATATACTTGACAACCATGCTCTACATTTCAAACATCGCTGCTGCAGATTGCGAGATTGTTTTAATTTGTTTTTTCCTCTGCCGAACTAGTGTATCGCCTATTTGAAACATTGAAGTTATTTGGCCGTGCAAAAGAATGACCGTAATATCCTTGGGCTTGCTCTCAATCAAGTACAGGTTGTAAAAAGTCCACGCCTTTGTCACGTAACCCATGTGGCCCGACCTGTCTCTCAAGCTCCCTAGAAAGAGACACACCCTTAAGGTGAGATGACTTGTATCACCTAGCAGCTGTCGTTGGTGATGAAAACGTTGTATCCGTCAGGGTGGAATAACTGGCCACCGCACTTGTTGCGAATGCCAGCAGACGAGCAGAGGTTGCAGAGCTCAGCCGCACCACGGGCCAAGTCGCCCCATGAGTTGAGAGTGACAGCGTGGTCGTTCTACGAAGCCATGAGTTAGCAAAAGAGCCTGACCAAATATGTTTACTACTGATCTGGAAACATATCACGTACATCGTTACACCAGTAGATGCCCGAGTTGTGAGAACAGCTGACGCGTGCGCAAGCAGCAGGGCCAGGACCGTGCCCGGGCTGACCCTCGAGATCCCAAAGGTAGTTCCACCCCTCCTGGATCCTACCGTAGTCAGCGGGCTCCCATCCGTGAACCGGGTGCTTGGAGTCGATGCATTCATAAGAAGCACCCTCCCACTGGCGTGTGAACAACTCGTGCTTGTCGCTGTTGCGTTCGACGCTTGAGCTTGGTGCTGGGGTAAAGAGACTGGAACTCCTCGGTAACCTCTTCAAGGGTACCATAAAGTGTACAGATTCGCCACTGGGAGTTTGAAACCCAGTCGAGTCGTGACGGTGTATCCGTCGGGAGCAGCAGCAATCTCTATGGCATCAGCATCGCCTATCCACCAAAGTTCCTGAGATAGCGTCGATCAAAACTCACGGCAGAGCCACTCAGGGCAGCAATAAAAACAACGGCAGAGAATTTCATTGTGGTGATGGTGGGACCGGTTGTTGTAAAGTTTTGAAGATTTGATATACTGTAAAGATACAGTGTGAACTGGATGAATTTGGTTGTTGATGCTGGCTTCTTTAGTGCGATGGTTTGATGAGTTTCATGAAGTGATCTGAAGAGAATTCTCATGCTTCTTTATACTCGTGAGATGCTGCCATTCTTCGATGTCAATCTCATCAAGTGGCCATAGTGCTACCGATGCTCCAACTTACTCTGGTCGTGACTTCAGATCAACAACGAGAATTCCGTAAGAATTACGCCGCATCGACAGATCGACGAATGTCTCGTGAAAATGGAAGCAAGCGCCGTCCTGGAACGAAATTAATGACGTAAATCAAACTGGGCGAAGCCTATTTTGTCTTTCAGGTTGAGGCGATTTCCATCCCAAAAGATCCTTCGTGCTTAGTTTAGAATCTCAAGGGTCACCATGTGAGGAGTTTCGATCATCATAATAGCTATTTCTGTGAATCTTGATCGCCACCGAGGCTTACTGCTTCAAATGAAAGCTCGTGACAATCATGGATAAACGTTGAGGTTATCCAAGATCCTTCTTCTTCTTGCCTCATGTGTGGAATATTCAGAGGGCCTGGTGCTGCGCCGTGAGATGTACACGGGCCGTCAAGATAAGTTTAGGGGTCGCGCCTGTGCAGCCAATGATTCTTGGCTCAATCAATCTGAAGGAATCATCAACGCGGGGGTCCCAATATGTGCTGGGCTGACATGGCAAACAAGTAAATTCTGACGAATGAAATGTGTTTGTTTTCCACGTGTTACATGAGGCTCGTCATGACACTCCGACCTCAACACCGCAGGAACATGCGAGTTTTCAGGGATGTACCAGTACTTCAATCATCATTAATACAGTGGCGCCATGCATGCATGTGATCCTTTGTAAACAGCACCATCGCTCAGGAGGGTTATGACGGCCGAATGTGTTGCGATGCGTGAATACAGAAAACCTTTTGCATGGCTATTCCCAAATTGTGCCTAGAACCCACATTTACACTCAAAGGCCATCTAGACCTGAAAGCATTCGCTCCCATCTATTTGGCATTTCTCAATACGAGGTGTATCATCGTAAAATATAGGCTTATTGATCACGTACTGCACTGAGATCACACGCTCATCTATACAGGCGAAGAAGTGGAGTAGTCTCCTATTCAGCGTAGGTATGTTCTGAGGAACTGAATGAGCGGCCCTTATACATAAATTTCTTCAGGGTGATGATCTCGACCCTTGTTCATATGTACCTAAGAAGTATGTCGAATACCAAGTCCAATCGCGGTACCCGACACGACCCCGACTACCACGCCGACCAAGATCCCGATGACAGTGCGTTTGCTGGGTGTGAGCATGGAGCCAGATTGTGGGCCTTTGCCGTATTGCTGCCTTTCAGGGTCATTGGTGTCAGAGGAAGGTCTGTTGCTTGCAGACCACTGCTTATTGTGAGGCATGATGTGTGAGTGGTGGTGTGAACTGCGTGTAATTCCGTTGTGGAAAGCGAGAGTGAGATGCTTTAGTGAGGGCTGAGTCTGTCAGATCGGGAACATATCTCCTCTCTCGGGGCGGCAGCTGCGCTTCTAAAATACAGCATCAGTTTTCCCTCTTGGAATGCGTAGGTGCTCATCCTCGGTGAAACCCCATGGTGGTGCTGATACTGTAGGATTCGACAAGGTTGTGTCGCTCTCAATAAAGTTATTTTGAGAACGCTTATCAATAGCATGGCAGTCCCCGAATGACATCAGTCCAGGTATTGATCGTCACTTGCAGTGCCCGTAGATCTCTTCCACGCCACTTCCCATAAGCCGACCCAAATGACTTTGGAGCAAAGCATCTATCTACTATTACTCGAAAACGGACAGTGGAACCTTCGTATTCATATTCCTGATTCTGAACTATTGCAAATAAAATGGCACAAGAGTAATGAGCATCACTGTACAAACCGTCTCTACCACACCATCTCTGCAACATACGGCCAAATGGCAGCACTCATCCTTTCTTACTTATTCAACGCACCTTTCGAGGCTTGGAAGCCATACCTATTGCTCGTTTTGGCCGTCAAACTCACCATCGTTGCCCTGGCCTTACCAAAGGTATCACGTTTCGCCTCTTTCATCCCACCATATGCCTTGACCCTGTGGTCATTACTCTCCATCAACCCGACGACGACCGCTTGGTCTCCACCGTACTTGGAGTACTCACTTGGAATCACCTGCATTGTCAACCTGATTATCTTGCCGCGCATATTGCTATTTGAAAAGCACAACGTAGTTGCTGCCCCGGAATTTGATGCTCTGCCGAGATCGAACTCCACAGGATCGTTGCGGGAAACCCTGTCAAATGCCACGAGCATCTGGAATAACCCTCGAAATATCACGACGATGGAGACATATCTATGGCATAGGTCCTCCCCGGTCTTGATTTGGTTCATGGTCGTTCGTTTGATACGAATAGGCTTTCTTGTTTGTTTGCACCATACAGTCATTCGGAGACTCTCAGACCCCTATTTTCTAGATATTGGGCTGGATGACGTTTCACCAAGACGAGAAAGCCTTGTCAGGCGCTTGATTTGGTCTTTAGACGAAGTCACACAGTTCGAGGTCATTCTGCGCATGCTTATGCCTCTGAACTGGATCTGGATGAATTACCTCTGTCTTGAGTGCTACCATGACTTTCTGTCCATCCTTTTTGTCTGTATTCTGCGGATAGACGACATGAACCACTGGCCTCCGCTTTTCGGTAGCGTCACAGAAGCTTACACTGTCAAGCGGTTCTGGGGCAGGTTCTGGCACCGAGTCACCGCCCACAACATGGCCACTCTCGCAAAGCCGACATCTCGAGTTCTTCTGCGGTGTAAGCCAGGCTCGAGGGCGGACAAAGCGACAATTGCGTTCTTTATATTCGTTCTCTCTGGGGCCGCGCATGCGGTTGTGGCTTGGAGAACCGCAGAAGGTTATGAGACTCGCGATATCGCTTTCTACGTGGCGAATTTCGCTGCTGCTGCGGCAGAGGTCTCGGTTTCACGAGCATTCTGGGGAAGCCAGTTTGTGCAGTCTCTGAAGAGAAAAGGCTACTTCGAACGCAGTGTCGTTCGTATCGTAGGTCGTACAGCGGGGTTTCTTTGGGTATATCTGTGGTTCACGTGGCTGGTTCCTAAGTGGCAGTTCCCGAAGCTTCACAGTCAGAGAACGAAGCAACTACAGATGGAAATTGCCCTGTTCTTTGGAGATCTGTAGTATCTTAAATCCAAACTCAGCGCTCTTGCTCATCTTTTCAGCGCTCTATCTCCTAGCTCATTCTAGTAAAAGTTTCTGACGCATTGCAAAACTTCTGTATAATTTTCGCCAGCTTGGTCTGCGACGTAGTCGCGCACCCGCGCTACAGAGAGGCAGATGCCTGCAAGAACACTGTATTCTTACCTGTCTCAGACAACCCAAGGGTATTAGTCATAACAACCCTCTCTGTAGAAGATGCAGCAAGCGCCACAAAGTAACGCAAATATCTGGCCTTATGGAAGCTGGTGGCCAAGCAGAGCAAGGGCGCATAATCCTAATGCTTGGCAACACATGGACCATGGAGTATACGGCCTGTAAAAATAGCTTCACGATGGTGCCCCGCGCTCAGAGAACCACTCGTACAGCGCTGGCTCGCCTACACTTAAGCATGGCAGATCAAGTCATACTTCGTCGTTTCGGAGAGCTTGTAGTGGTACATCTCAGCAGGCAGGGGTCTGGATGCAGTCAGGGATCTGCACGCGGCTAGATCCGTGGGGGTATGAGATCGACTCTTCAGGGGTCTTGGACCACACAGCAACCCACGTGCAGGCCATATGAGATGAGCGCCTGTTTCTTCTCCGTCCTAACTCACAAGATTCCGTTTCGATCTTATTCTTTTCCTAGCTCACATGGTAGTCATTGTAAGACGAATCCGGACATGCTGGATTGTCGTTGGTAGGATTCGACCCCTGCATTGCATTATCATCGCCTTCCGCATGAAGTTGCAATATCAATTCAAAGAGTGAGGTCAGACACTACAAAAGAATTTGTAAACGGATCATTTTGCCAAGAAACGAAGGATTGTGAGACTCATGGCTCACTCAATATTGCCCTGTCAAGGCCGTACATGTTCGCGGCGTGTCAGCTAGCCTTTAGGTGGCGATGGAATATCACTTCGGGCTTCAACGTCACTTTAAATCAGCGCTGCCGCCCGACCAAACAAGTCAAATATAGGGGGTATATTTGACTGTTTGAACCGCTGAAACTAGTAGATTTGACTGTTTGGTCGTATTTGTAAATATTTGATTCGATTTGATATTAAATGAAGCTCTCGTGATAGTCTGGCCCTAAGTATTAGTGAGATTCTATAGTGTTGAGCTAAGTAGAGACTTTAGTGGGTAACCTAAAGGGGGACCTAGGGGAGGTAGGTAGATATTATGCGTAGATAATAGCTATAACCCTAGTATAGCTAGTAAGAGGGTCGGGTCTTAGGGACTAGGTAGGCGATACGCTAGGAATATACGATAGAAGCTATATAGCTATTCTATAGGTATAAGATAGATAAATTATAACTACCTAGGTTAGAAGGCTACGTAGGCTTATATAAGGATAGTGGGCACGGGCCTATAGGTTAGGCTACGCAGGCTTATATAAGGATAGTGGGCACGGGCCTATAGGTCAGGCTACGTGCCCTAGGCAGTTAGGCCTTAGGCTACAGGCAAGGCCACAGGCAGGGCCACAGGCAAGGCCACAGGCAGGGCCACAGGCCAGGGCCACGTGCCACGCCACAGGCGGCAGGCACGGCCACAGGACCTAGGGGACTAAGATAGGGGGCCCGGGGGAGGGGGGGGGGGGTAAGAGATAGGAGTTTTTTAGTTAGCTGTTTCGGCTTTTAGTGGACCCGGAATATATATATCCCGGGTAAGGAGCATTATTTGGATGTTTGGCAAATCCAAATAACTATATAGGCCTATATTTGGCTGTTTGATGGGATCTATAGGGGCTATTTGTTTTGCTGTTTGACTGTTTGATTTGAGTGTATTTGGTCGGGCGGCAGCGCTGCTTTAAATCCTCTGAAGATCTTTTGATTTTTGCAGTAGGGTTCTATAATTGGAGAGGCCATATCTGCAAATCGAGGTATGTCCAGAAGACTGGCCAGTTCAACAAGCTCAGCCTCACTCGAGGATCTATGAGAAGGATTTAGCATGCGCCAGGTCGACGATCCGCTATTGATGGCAACTCAATGATCAACCAGAGTCTAAGGATAGTTCTGGCTGATGTGTGGTTGCTTATGTTGACGTCAGGCTAAGTTGCCACCTCAGACCGTGGACATCTGAAGCAGGTAAGACGGCATGAAGCATAGGATACACAAGATGGAAACAGCTCAGACGATATGGATAGCTATAAAGCTGATGATTGCCTCTTGAAGAGTTAAGAAATATCAGACAGACAACAGTAACAGGGAAAAGTCCTCATTCCTGAACCTTACCATAAGAACACTATATTTTGACTTCACGAACCATATCTCTCTCCTTTCATCATAACTCCGGACTCGTTTTCGTTACACCATAAACGCCAAGATGCATGTTTCAGCTGTTATTCATCCGCTTATCCTTACTCTCGCCTGCGTGGAAACGGCTGATGCAAGCTTCATCGGCGCCGCTGTCAGGGGTGTCCGTGCCGGCACAACGGCCGGTCGCATGTCGGGCAGCGTCAACACCTTGGTCCAGAACGCATTTCGCAACGTCCGCACCATGTTGACGCCTGGAACTGGCCAGATGGCTACTAGGATCAAGGATCGCGCGGCTGCTGTTCGCCAGGCCATGACCCTCTCGGAAGAGGGAAAGAAGTTCCTCAAGTTCGGCATTTTGAGCAGCACCATCTCTGGGACTGTGTCCGGCACCATCTCCGGAAATATTAGCAAGAACAGTAAGAAGACACGCCGTCTGTACACCGACCGCTCGGAGCTTCTATCTCGTGAGCTCCTGGCCCGCCAGGATGAGGTCGCTGAGCCTGGTGCCGCGCCCGAAGGCATCAGCCAGTACGAGTGGGACCTCTGCTTCTGGGACACTGTTACTGCTGCCCACGTTGTAATCTCAGGCGAGAACAATTGGATCCAGATGGACGGCCTTCCCCCCGTCTGTGTCATGATGAACGACAATCTGGCCGGGGACCCTGAAGCTGGCACCGGTATCAATTGCGGTGAAGGCTGCATTCGATACGAAAACCTTTCGCCCGAGGACTTCAACTCCATGGCTGATTACCTCAATGGCCTTGTACCTTAAGCAAAGAGTCATTCGATCATTATGGAACGTTCTCTCGTTATGCAACATACTGTTGCCTCTGTGCCGTGCGCATGTCTTCGCAAGTGCTGGGTGGTAGCAGCCATGGGAGAGGCCTAGGGTTCCTAGGTAGTGAAAGTTGGTTGAGGAAATCTCTCTCTCATGTGATCTTAGCTTGTGTCTGTTTCCACCTTACTCAGTCATTATCGAACACTCCAATACTTCACTTAAACCATGGATTTCTGGTCCTGTGTTCCGCGAGACACACAGTATGAGCGAGGTCCGGAATAGACGAACATATCTCTGTTCTTAATACCACTAGCAGCATAAAGTAGTACTGGTCTTACCAGTACATGGCATACATGGAGATAGGTTGTTTCCTGAGGCGAATTATTCTTCAGCAATTACATGACGCCCCACTTTCATGCAAATGTTGGTAACAATAATCGAGGAGTTTTCGTCTAGTCCTGATGATGCCTAACGCATCTGAATTAGTGAACACCCTTTTTGACCTCTTGTGACTGAAATGGTCTCATGATATCTCGACCTGAACTTACACTGGCTCATGTTTGTTTTAGACCACCTATCCAAGTGGCCAATCTAAGTCGAGATGCACATATGCTCCATAGTTTGTTATCTGAAATACTGACAGGTGTAAGATAATGACTTCAGAATGAATGGTGCAATGGAAGAGCTTTCCTGCATGAGAACTATTTACAACTTCCACTTCCACTTCCAGAGGCCATGTCCGGGTACCCTCATCGCCTCGGCTCTAACTCCAGCCACAGACACAGCTGCCACTGCCATCGATGCTCCTACCAAAACTGCTACAGGCGTGTAACTATTGGCGTCTCTCAGCACACCGTGGCCCGGAACTAGTACGCCAGCGACAGGAGTGCCCACAAGCGTGGCTAACCCTTGCAGCATGTAGAAAACTCCACCCATGCGAGGAATCTCCTTAACTCCAAACAGCTCAATCAACGCCACTGGGAACAGACTGATGAATGCGCTAGCAAACAATCCGTATAGGACGGTAAAGCTGATGAACAGGTTCCTCGCTGTTGGTTCGTCGACGGTTCCGACAAGTGTACTGGGGACCCACAAACCCAGGCTGATTATCGCAGTGAGCAATGTCGTTAGAAAGAATGAGTTGAGTCTTCCAAGTCGATCCGAGATGAACCCCACCGCAATCTTGCCGACAGCATTGCAGGCATTACTCAACGCTGTCAGGTTTGCCCCCTCTCTCTCGTCGTAGCCTAGCGATTTTGCATAAAGGACTGTGAAGAATACCGGCGTGTAATAAGCAGCGCTTTGGAAGATAGTGCTGGCAGCTTGCAGAATAAATTTTGGCTGCTTCGCAGTCTGCCAGTCGGGAAGGGGAATTTTAAAGAGTGCTGTAACAGGGGATAAGGCCTCATTTTTGGCGGCGAGATGATTCGCCATGCTCGGCTCCCAATCAAGGAACGACCCAGAAATACAAATAATCGTGGTAGCCAGGCATGCCGTCAGTCGCAGGGTATTCCGGAAGCCGATGTTGCTGATACATGCCGAGATTGTTGGTGCCCAGACCAAGCCGCCGATGCCAGTGCCAGCAGAAATAAAACCCATCGCCAAGCCCCTTCGCTTGTCAAACCATGTGGGTGCAATGGTCATAGACGGGACAAACGATAGCCCTGTCGCGATTCCGAGCAGCAATCCCTGAGCCAGCTGAAAGTGCCACAGGACTTTGCCGAAACTTGCCAGAACGCTCGCCACACCAAAGAGGATGCCGCCAGCCCATATGACGTTTCGAGGCTTGAAATATTTGACCCATGCCATGACAAACGGAGCCGTTATTGTCATGAGCGACGCTGAAAGCGTCCCTATGAGGTCTATTGTAGCCGAAGAGGCCCTCGTGAAGGGGCTCCCTTCTCGAAGCACCATGGTTTCGTAATGCTCCTGGTAGACACCAAAACCAAAGAGTATACCGCAAGCCGTGAAATTGATCATAAATGCGGCTAGAATGACTGTTAAGTATCTCCTTGTGTTTCTATCAGTAACTTGATGAGATGTATCTGAGATGATTCTCCACGTTGCTCACCACTTTGGACATTGAATTCCAGTTGGATTGCCGCTCAGGTCTGGGGTTGGTTCAGTCATGGTTCGGTGTCGGATCGGCCTCAATGGGTGAGTATGGCTGGAAACTCTGGTGCTTTCGAGCCATCAGTTATTAATACATATTTGGGCACGAGGTGGTTGCATAGTGTGATATACCCAGTCTCCCGTGACACCCTCTGGGTTCTCCATTGCTGTGTCATACCCCATATTAGCCGCACAGATGAGGAAGGACTTTGCGATCAAGCCCCACCTGTTGGCATCGCCGCTGTAATCCATTGGATGAAATAGAATGCTTTGCGGATTTGGAAAGCAAAGGGAATGAACACCGAGGCGTAGCCTGCCTCATATTTGTCAAAGATACCTCGGAAATCTCGTTTGAGGATCCAAGCAAAGAACAAAGCACATTATGATGGATATTTTCAGGATAGCGGCAATGTGATGGATGAAGAACTTGCGCCAGCTCAGAGATGACATGCGAATCAAAACTCTAAAAAACTGGACATGAAGAGGGATAATACGACAAGGCGCAAACACCAGGATTTACACTATCTGTACCATCCTGACTTTTGCGGAAACTCGAACAACAAATGGGAGGACGCCGGAATAACATGTTGGAATAAACTTGTTTTGTGGAGAAAGAAAGTGCACACGATTGCCCGACGCAACCCTTACTCATCTGAGAACAGAGACCCCGCCAAGTACTTCAATCCAGTGTCGCAAGCTACTGTAACGACTTTTTTGTTCGCCCCCAATTCTTTAGCGAGCTGAATTGCTGCAAGGATATTAAAGGCCCGATGATGTCCCAACCCAAAGACCTTCTTCCCTGGCCAGCTGGCGGCACATGCGACGAGCAGCCTCTTCATCCACTGTGCGGACTTCGTCATACAATTCTTTATCGATGTGGACCGAGATGAATCCGGGTGCGATGCCATCGACGCCATGCGAGCCGCTCATGCCTGTAGCCAACAAAGCCGCTGAGCTGGGTTCAAGCAGGATAACTCGAACATTTGGGTTCTGAGATCTGATCGCTTTGGACACGCCCATAGCCATGCCAGCTGTTCCAAACGCACCACAGAAGACGTCGAAGCCGTCCGGAAATTGGCTGTTTAGCTCATGGCCAATCTCCGCGTATCCGATGAGCGCGTCATGATTGCTGAATTGATCAGTATGGAGATACTCGTCGGTCGACCCGAGATCTGCGGCCCTGTTCTTCATTGATATCATCAGGCTTGCCGTCGCTTGCCCTGTGGGGCTGTGTGTGACGTCGACCGTTGCTCCGAATGCAGACATCGTTCGCAATTTCTCCTTTGCATACGCGTCGGACGATAGAGCCAGGAACTTGTACCCTTTGACGGCGCAGATAAAGGCCAAAGACGACCCGGTGCTACCACCTGTAGCTTCAATAACCGTCATGTTGGGTCTAAGCTCTCCGCGACGCTCGGCTTCTTCGATCATGGATCTAGCCATGCGGTCTTTGTAAGAGCCTGTGGGGTTCATGTACTCGAGTTTGACGTAGACATCGGCGCTGCCTTCCGGAACGACATGCTTGAGCTGCACAACAGGTGTATTACCAATGGTATCCAGAATTGTAGGAGCTGGGGGCGGAGGCATGGGAGCCATGGTTGGAAATGATGTTCGATTGGTCTTGCAGAACCAAATCAAGAAAGAATAATCGGCACCGAGGGAGGCTTGGCTTATTATATGGCGAACGTACGAGCCATGCAGCGCTAACGTTAAAATGATCGCAAATCATCTTCTTCTCCGCCAGAAGTGGAGCTCCTTGAGTTTGCGTCTTTTTGGTCAACTGAATGGTTTGAGCTTTCGGAGGAGGCTTTCTTTGCATCGCTCTCTTCACCGTCCACACGGGGGGTGACAGCTCTGGAAGCCGGAGAAGTTGTGTGGCATGACTCAAGCAATACGTTGAGATGAAGCGAAAAGGGATAAGGAAGGCAAATGCGATCAGCCCCGCTGTGCAGCTTGACAAGCCGCTAGGTTGAATTCACTCTAGCTTTCTACGTAAGGAAGGCGGATGCGATCGGTTCTCCTCCAGCGACTCACTCCAATGACTCACGTTGAGATCTTGTCTACCTAGTGTATCACGCTGCCTCGGGCAATGACAAACGCAACCATGGGTGCGTGAGGGCTGACTCCTTCATCCAGTCGTCGTGCGCTGTGGTCATTCCGCTACGGGCAGATACACACTCATCTCAAACCCGTTGGTATAGGGGAGGGTCAGATTGCGAAACCCATTCCTCGGCTCTCGCAGATATGCCAGCAGGTCCTTGTATCCTTCAGCGCCAGATATCGTATTGTCTGTCAGGATGACTGCACCGTATCGCAGGCGGGGGAGGACGACCTTGAGCGTCGGGAGAGCGAGGGCCGACCAAACTATTCATAAGTCAGCGAGACTCAAAGGGCCGTTTTTGGATCATAGCAAAACGAGACTCACTGTCAAGGAGCAAAAGGTCAACCTGCGGCAACCCTTCCTTCAGGGTTTCAAGCAGATTGCCCACTCTCAAGTCAATCTCTTGTTCGACTGTCGGGCCGCAGCGTGCCCAGTACTTGCGCGCAATTTCTGCCTTTTGCGTCTCCTTTTCGGTCGCGATGATAGTACCAGTCTTTCCAGTGGCGGCTTTTGTTTTGCCAACAGCAAGAGCAAGATAGATGGTGCTGACGCCGAAACTAGTTCCGGCTTCGACAATGTTGGTAGCTCCCATTGCATTGATGAGTTGGTACGTAAACTGGCATTTGTCTTCGTCTAAAGCAATGAATTTGTCGAGCATGAGCTTGTCGAATTCGCTCGCAACATGTGCATGAACGTGTTCATCTTCGAGGTCGCCAATGACCTCGGAAGAGAAAACTTTCTTCCCACTTCTTGAAATGGCCGCTTCCTGTTCCAGGGATTTCTGGTGAAGCTCGGACAGGAGTTCAAGGATGTGATCCGGAGCATCGATGGCTGGAAGAGATGACATGATGTGATCTGAAGCTTTTGAGAATGTGAATGAAAAATAGGCAAATGACAAAGTGTGATGTGAACAAGAACATGATGGGTATTGGGAATTCGCAGTTCTTATACTTGAGCTGTGCTTGGAGCAACCTTCAGTGTGGCTCCGTGATGTAGCTTGCTAGCTTGTTCTGGGCCAATGTGCTTGGCCTGGCGCCATGGATGCCGACAAGATTTGCGAAGCCGATTCCATTTTTGGCTCTTCTATAGTCATCCTTAACAGGCTTTCACTCCCCAAGCTGCGTTGAATGTGGAACCTCAGAAGTTGCCGCTTTAACCCGAGCTCAGGGTGGAGCAGGGTGAGCAAAGAGCTATCAACCCTGGTCTACTACTTGGCCTGGCAGGGCTTGGGCGTAGCAAAGATCGGGCGTAACATAGACATCACTAGCACGTGATGCCATTCATGTGTAGTTCATGTTCCTGCCAACGTAACCAATCCATTCTGTTTGTCCAGTCTCACTTCCACCAACCAAACCGTTGTGTAGTTCTTTAAATCACTTATCAAATACCATCAACCACATGCTCCTCCACATCTCAAGCTCTCGAGGTTCTAGACCAGACACCACGAAGAAAGTGGGTACGGCGACGGTCATCTACTCCGGCGACAGCTTCATGCCTTCTGGCCTTACACGGTAAACAGCACAACGGATGCATCAAGAAATCAATTCTCGACACGTTGTTCAATGATACTCGACTTTTGCTTTCGGCACGCAGATCGGATTCTTCGCGTGATGGTCCATGGTTCTGCTCTTTCCAAATCTTAGTTGGAGGTGCTTTCCTGGCACGGGAGAACCGCCGGCCGTCGCAACTACTGGCTGATCAACAGCCTCAACCCATACAACCTCCTTCAGTGGCGCCCATGTCCTTACGCCGGCCGACGTGTTTGAAAGTCCGGGCTCGCTGATGCTGCTTGGGCGGTCTGATTCCAAGCCCAAAGCGATCAATTCAGTCATGCTCTCCCATGCGTCGCTCGTTTCCCCATGCCAAAGCACCCACAATGTGTGACCCAGCGCAATGACGGCGTGGGCCATCAAGATTGCCATGCAGAGGCGATCGAACCATCCTCGAGCTGACATTGCGTAACCTGGGAGGATCATCTGAAGCTTTACGCTAACCATGTCGTTGGCGCTTTCGGGACTGAAAGCTGTTTTAGGTTTGTTCAAGTTCACCAGCTTTTTCGCAGTCTCGGCTGTCCACGGCTGTGACACGAGCGGCTCCAGCATGGCGCTATAATTCGACGTCATGAAGCTTGATGATCGGGACAATCCATCGACGACAAGAACAGCAAGTGCGAGCTCCGTAGCCTGGAGGGCGTCCCATCCCTGAAGAGTATCGGAAATAGCGAGATTCAGGATACTCTCGACAGTGGTGACTGACGTGTCGTTAGGCTGATTTGGACTAACAGGCACCTTGGCCCCAAGATCATCAAACCAAGCGCTCGATAAACCCACGCGTTCCCACGAGCCGTCCATTGGTGCAGTGAAGTCGCGCCACCTAAAGTCTTCTGTGCCTACCTCACTGTCCACAAGAATGTGACCCTGGTCGGCGGCAAAATTATACTTGATGGCTCGATAGTCCTGGTCGACAGTCATCTTGCCGGCTGCCCACCAAGAGTCGATAGTGCAGCTCATGGTCTCCCATGCTTGGACTTCGTCAGCCGCAAGGCGGAAGAGGAAAACACCCAGGTAGTCGAGTCCTTTGTCATTAGTGGGCAAGTCCACGGCGACAGCGAAAACCCCTGGGCCACTTCCTTGGCTCAGCCGAGCCCTGACTGGGTCAGTCATGTCAATATGGGAAAGATTTGTCCATGCAGTCCCCCCTTCGTCCAGATATCTTGGGCGGCCGTGGCCTGGATACATGGGGAACGACCCGAGGACCTCAAAGCTTTCTTGTCGTGTGGAAAAGCTTCCCAACCACTCATTGCAAACGATCCGAACCGCTGGGATCTTTGTCTCAACAACGGCGATCCTGGTGTCGCCGTAACTCAGCAAGTCAGGATCTGGATGAACGATGCCTGCTGGTTTTGTGTCCCTCAGGTATTGCAAGGCACTGCCCCAAAGAGTATGCCATGCTGCTTGAGTCGTCGCAGTGGGCGTGTGAGCTGTGATGGCCCACGTGTCGATAACGTATTGGCCGTTGAGGCGGAGCCTTGCATGAAGGTTCTTCCTGATACGTGAATCTTCCAGTTCAAACGAGATCAGGTCGTTGACAAACCTTCTCTGGCGGTTTCGAAATACGTTGTAGATCGAATGGTAGCCATGAGCGAGGCATTTCTGAGCTACAGGATCGGTTTTGGGGCAATCGCTCAAGGGAACGGGCAACGGCTGATGTGGCCACATGTCTTCCTGTGATCCTATCAAAATTTAGTATGCCTGTTGGGAAAGAATGGGCCAGGCGGTCAACAATACCATTGAGCCAGAATCTGCCTCCGCCTGCCGGCCAATCCATTACTCGAGGAACCATCAGAACAGCGCTGCTTGGACCAGCAAGGACGGTGATTATTCCGGACACGAACAACAGTAGGACCAATCCGAATTTCCGAAGTACAGATGCGTGCTTGTATCTGATGGAGCCCCAGAGGTCGGATGACCAGAGGTAGCTGAAGAATCGGTCAGCAAGAGTTGATTCGGACTCTTTGTTCATCTCTCTCACCTCAGCGTTGTGAAGCGAAACCCAGCGCCCATCCACCCCAACGGAATACCTGGCCCGAATGTCATTTCCGACCTCACCACATGGAAGATAACTGTCGATAGACTAGCCACGATGAGTAGCTCCTGCACCTTCGCGCAGAGCTGGAGAACCCCCAGCTTGATGCTGTCAGAGCCCCGCCAACCCTGGAGACGTGTGCCGATAAAGTAACCCATCAAGTTGATGGAGATGAGTATGATTGACATCGTTGCTGGCAGTAGGTGCACTATGCAACGTGCGAGGGCTGCTTTGCGCGAAAGTACAAAAAGGCTCTTTGGCGGCTCAGGCCCTTTGCGGATTGTGATTATCTCAAGGCCAATGGCGCGAATGGCTCTAGCATATCTTGTGGTGATGTCAATACAGCCACGGCCAATCCTTTTCCATGGCTCAAGCCATTTTGACCTCGGAGGAGGCATCTGTGCTGTTTGTGCCGTCATAGAGGCTGCTCGTATTTGGAAGTAAGGCTAGCAATGTGGCACATGTCTCGATCAGGGCCCCTCTGAGTATTTATATTTGTGTTGAGGCTCTCGAGCACATTTTCAGCTGGGTGTGCCAAGAAAGCTCCCAGCCTGATCCTCTGTGGCGGCGGTAACTCTGTCGAGCAGGCTCCAGCTATACGGGAACGTCGCAACCAATCGCAGCTGCATGGAAGTATTCACGGCTGACACGTGGCTGGTCTGGTCACATTCTACCACGGACGACGAATGCGTTCGCGATCATTATGGCCTCATATTTCCCAGCAAGGGGTTCCCAATCAGCATTGCCTTCGACTTCCTTCAAAGAGACGCGGTCAGGCTGTGTCGGCTATCTGTAATCCTCCTCTGGGTCCACCAGTCATCAAGACATGGCATGACAGGTCATTTAGAACCCCAGGACATTCCAAAAAAAAAAAAAAGAAAGCTCCGGGCCTCCAGCCGTTGATGCGAAACAATCGATACCTTATCTTCAAGTTTTCAGCTAACTCCCGTCTGTGAAGAATGTCACGTCCCAGTGGTTCCCCTCGTCCTGAATCCGCTTCAGCACTCAAATCCCCAAGTAAGTTCAAGCAACTCACCACATAAATGTTCCCGGAACGAGCTTTGTACCGGCTCGCGCCATCAGAGCGGTTCGAGATTCTCGTGAACGTGCCCCTTACGTATCGGTTGAGGGCCGCGTTCTTGGCAAAGTCGAGCTTATGCCCCGTGCTGTGAGAGTACTTGCCCGTTGGGTGGCCGACCTCGGTGTCGCTAGTAATGATAAGGCTGCACTTGCACGCCTTCTTCAGTGTGATGGCGCCAGCGACCGTTGTTGCCCGGATGCCGGAGAAGGACGTGCATCTTGGGTTGGACTTGGTCGTGCAGGCGCCCGTAGAGCGCGAGAGGATGCCCGCGGCCTTGAAGCGCTGAGCGGCTTGGAATTGGGTGAGCTGGGTCTGGGCGCTGATGCAGAGGGCCCAGAGGACGGCGGAGAGAAAGAAGAATAACTGCAGCATGAGGCGCGTTACCCTCGCATCAGTAGGTACTCACCGGGCGAGCTGGTGAGAACTCACCTTCATGACCGGCGCTGTTCACAAATCTTGGATACTGCTTTTGAGAGATCTATCGCCGCTCAATGCAACCTGAAGCAGCCAGATGCCCCTGTCGGTACCTAGGATTGAGTGCGACGTTGTTGCAGCTCAGCGTTGGACGCAGAAAGATCAGTGTGACGGATCAGTGCGTCGACTTTTTGAGATAAATACTCGCATTCAAACCCGCCGGGCGCGATGCTGACCCGAATAGAACGTTCACGCGACGTAAATAGATGCTCGGCTGCGTCGGCCAATGATGGATTGCATATCGCCGGCGCCTAGGCTCACGATAGGTCCAGTCTAGAGCATGACACAGCGGCTGTGCATAATCCCCCGGACAGGTCACCAAATAAGGCCAAA